GCCCTGTAGGTCTGGCGTATTCAGAAAGGTGAAAAGGCATTGGGGACGAGTACGTACCGATGTTCGTCCGTCAGACGCGTCCCCCCATAGGTGAGCGACGTTAGCGTCGGCCATATATAGATAACGAGATCCTTGTCGTCGTGTAACATCGAAGGAACTTGGCGCAGCAGGACGACGGAGGCAAGCATCGGAAGAGCAAGTAGGAGGAGCCTTAGCCCTTTCACGACGGGTCAATGTGTTCGACGATTCCAGACAGCCTGATCACGGTGCGGATTCGTTGGAGACGTCCCCTGGACATCCGAGGTAAGCGCAAAGGAAGACCGGATCATAAACGATGGTCCACGACGTGCTCGTAACGGTGTTCAGGCCACAGATCCGTCTTGTAGTTCCAGGGCTATCGTCGTCGTGGGCCTGGGAAGGACATTGCCATCAAGCAAAGGATGTCCGTCGATGGTTCGAAAGTGAGTGCCACGCCTATGTCAGTTGCACGACGTGTAAGTTGAATAAGTCGCACAATGAGCAGGCATGTCGCTTACTTTATCGATGCGCCGCTCGTCCCGGGCGGCGGAAGACAAGGAAACAACGTAGGAGCATTCAGGGTGCGTGAAGGTGGCGGTAGAGAGTGAGCCACTCGAGGTGGGGACAGAAATTTTAGTGCGCCAAGCTCGTTCGGATGTGACTATGGACTGATATTCGGCTTCAGAGACTGCGTATACGACCTAACCGCCTCTTGGGAGGACGAGGCTTGCTGGAAGAGCCATAGGATGGAACGACTGCTCGGCTGCTGCCGAGTGGTACCCTCTCACCGAAGCCACTGGAACGTGGGAGGGATTGTCGTCGACCTCGGCAGCAGAGACCCAAAACTGGTCGTCGTCGAGTCCGGAGTTGCGAGATAGCTCAGATATCGAGGGCAGGCTGGCGGCCGATGGCTGAGGAAGTCGCGGCACGAGGCCGTCGGTGCTGGGGGTCTGTGCGCAGTTCCCAAATCCGGATATGCCTTGGTCTCGATGCGGGCAGTCGCGCATGTCGTCTCTGGGGCGAGAGCGAGGGGCTCTGACGGGCGAGCTTGTCGTAGAGGGCTGTTCGGAGCAGGGTAATGCTCCGAATGGTTCGCTGGGTCTGGTTCGCGCGAGCGGAGTGACGGGGCCGGGCGGGAAGGGAGAGTGGGATCAGAGCGTACTCAGCGGGGCGCGAAATGAGGTATTTAATTTGCACGCGCCAACTCAAACACGGCTCACTACTCTACCCGCGACGACCGCCTCTCCGCATCCTCTTCCCTTGCGCCTCTCACTAGCATCCACTCCCCTCATCTATACAGCATCCCTTCCTTCCACACCTGATTCCCCTCCCCCCGGTTACCATTGTTATCAGCTTCAATCCCATCATCAGCAAGTCGACGATGTTCCAAGACCTCGACATATCTGACTTCGGGCTCAACAACGCTGCCGAGATCTCGGCGTTGTTCCAGTTGTATGTCTCCCAGTCCAATCTTACAGCCGACTGCTGATGGTTGGCTAGTGAATCGCTGCCGGAGCCCGACTTCGACAGCCGGTCGGGTGATAGCAATCATCTTTGGGATAGCGATGGGTTCATGAAGGAAGTTGACATCGGCGAAAGGTAAGACTGGGACACACTGTACCCGGTCACTTCACTGACGGCGCATCGTCGCCAGGGGCTTGCCTGAGCCAGTCGTCTTCAACTCGACCGGCGATTCAAACGACGAGGTAGAGCGCGTACACCAAACAGACCCCGCGCCTCGCCGTCCATTGGTGCTGAGTCACTCTCCACACCTTCGTTGACTACGACGAGCCCATCGTCGGAATCATCAGCATCGCCCGTGTCCACTCCTCCGCTGCTGTACTTTCCACAGCCCCCATCGCCTTTACCTTCGCCTCCTTCGCCTACTCAACCACCACCTCCGGTGTCCAGACGGTCTGCATCTCGGGAACACCGGCGGCGCGCAAGGTAGTACCGCTTCCGAGACAGAGGTGAGTAGCTTTGTAGTCTCCTAAGCCCTCGTCACAGACACTGACTATGTATCATCCGTGATCCTAGCCGGAGTGCTGCCCGCAAGCAGCCTCAACGACAGGAAGGAGCTATCGTGGGAGCTCGGACAGGCCGGGAACCAGGCTCCTGCAATTTCGTCGCAGCCTCAGCCTGAGGCATCGTCATCTCGGGTGACGCTGGACAACCACGCAGAGACAGTAACCAGGTATGCAATACAGACGCTTCATTGACAACTTTCACTGAATCGATTGCTGCATCAGCTTCCCTGGTACCACTACCACTCGTCCGAGCATTCATCCTTATTCCCTGCCGCCCGTCTCTGCGCATAAGTCGCATACGACGACCTACTACACAGGAACACAGGCACTCGCGGCGCCGATGAGGCCCGCATTCGAGATACCGTACGTAGGCGCGGCCGAACGTCCCTTTATGCAGCAACTGACGATCTTGCTTCTGCGTAATAGCGTGAGGGAAGACCAGGTCGAGACCCGGCAAGGGTACAGAGCATTCAGCGTTGCGGCTTCTGCGTCCAGTGCGAGATCGGAGGATGGAGGAGCTCCCGGTATCACCACACCATCTGCACCTATTTTGGACGGAACCTTCGTCCATACGTTCGTGCGATCCGCGCCCCCTCAGCCATACATACAGCCGTATACCAGCTCGGCTTGGACATCATCCTACGTGCCTGCCGATTCACTCGCCTTCTCTGCGTCAACGCCCGGACAGAAGCGGAGACGAGGATCTGAGGCCGATGAAGACGGCGACACGCGCCCCGACCGGCACCTCACCAACCCCGAGCCAAGGCACGACCCATGCTCCAACTCACGCTGAATCCGCCTCCGCCTCCGTCCGTCGATAACACGTGTGGGTGGAAGATTCGCGATGGGGAGAAGTGCGGGAGGGAAGGCACTGCGTTGGAGGTTTGGTCGCACATCCGTGCCGACCACTACGCGGTGGACCCCGCGAAGGCGGAGCCGGCGCCGGTCGTCGGAAAGTGTGACTGGAACGAGTGCGGCTTCGAGGGTACGCAACAGGACCGATTCAAGCATTGGAAGGTCAAACACAGGCCACAGCTGGCGAAAGAAGCCACATCAGGAAAAATCAATATGTCTTTTTCCTACATATTCAGTCATAATAGGTGCATTGAAGACAAAAAGCATGCTGAAGAGCCTAAAGACCAATTTACACAAGTCCCCCTTTCAATTCTGCAAAAGAAGTTCCACCAATCTTGTTTAAGCATGCTTTAGTGCGATGAGGATGTGTAATGTAGCACCATTTTGCTGTACTTATTGTTGCTTTTTGTCACTGATTCTGTCTTCATGTGACTCAAATCCATTCGCAAATATGCACCTTGTGCATTAGGCATGATCCACACGACGATGATATTGGTACAACAATGTTCAGTACTACTTATACAACATGACAACAACACCGAGATGACAAGCCACGACTCGGAGCAACTATACATACCACTAAGACAACATTGATGGCAGAGCGACCGACTCGGACCGACCGACCGACACACCCTTGAACGCAGTACCATATACTACACTTGATGGTCAATAGTAGAACGAGATGATTGAATGAGCAAATGCTTCAATTCTGTAGATGACTGATTGACTTACCATCGACCTACTCAGGCCCCGCCGTTCGTGGATGCTCCACTGCCACGGTCTGGAAAATGTTGAATGGGATCATGTAGGTGGCAAGTGACGACTGAACACGCACCTTCTCCAGACCCGCGGAGTTCATCGATCTCAGTCTGAACCCCTTCACCGCCTTCGCCAGAGAGTCCGGCGCCCCCTTCGTCCTCACTGTGGCCCTGTCCACCCGCTTCACCGCCCTCGCTGCCGTCAGAGTCGCGCCGTTGGTGGTTCTGTGACTTCGAAGTCGACGCGCCTGCACCGCGAGTCTTCCTCGATGGACTGGGTGGATTCTTCGCAGCCTGCGAAGAATTCGGTGTCTTCGCGCTTTTCGATGAGCCGGACGGCTTGCCCGCGGTCTTCGATGATGTGGTGGATTTATTGCCCTTCTTCGCGGTGCTCGACGGCGGCTTGGTCGCAGCCTTCGATGTGCCGGGCTTGTCGCTGCTGCTCTGCGCCTTTGATGCACGCAACTGGAGCAAAGGGATGAAGCTGCCCGGCTGCTCATCGCTGTCCGTCACTCCCTCGAGCGCGTTGGGGCCAGCGTTGAGACGATTGCTGTATGTGTGGTCAGTAACAATTTCCGTCTAGATTCAAAACTTACCTGATGTGCTTCCATATGAGCTCTCGCGTCTCTTCGAGGTACTCGCTGGCACTGTCTTCCAGAGTCTCTAGGATGGCCATCGTGCCATCCCACCTATGGTTGGTGAGCTTTCACCATTTGCAATAGAACTTAAGAATTACTTACTTGGCCGCGAAAAGCTTGCCGGAGAAAAATATGGACTGGTTGTGCGACGTTACCTCCATCAGTGCTGCCTCGATCTAGTTTACAATTGTATGAGTAGCTTAACTTAGAGCAGGAACTCGACGAGGATGCGGATACGTACCGCGTTGCATGCGAGGGCGATGAGGTTGAAGGGCATCTTGCTGAACTCATCCAGGGCCGCATTGATGTTCGCATCGCCGCGTCCTGCCAGGCCGTAGTACTGGTAGATGAGCTCAGGGATGCATTCGTTTCGGAATGGCTCCGTGGGCTCGACCTTGGTAAGCTAGGATTGCAGTGAGCTCGCTCTGACGTGTTGCACCCTGTGTGAGCACGTACCTCTCGATCCAGCTTTTTCTTGCGATCGAAGTGGAACTCTACGCCCCGAAGACGAAGTTCGCGATGTTGCGTGTCCCGGAACCGTCATTCACTTCCGTTGGGTGCGTCTCGAGAAGCCAAACGACGACCTCGGTCCTTTGAGGAACTGTCAGGCTGCCAAGCTTGAAGGTCTGCTCTATCACTTGCTTCGCCTTCCTCTTGAGCTCGTTCCGAGTCTGTGATGAGCAAGTCCAGACCTGGAAAGAATCAGAGCCTCCGACTTTCGTGAATTATAATGAGTGTGAGCTCACCACGGAGTAGGCCTTCGCTCTCAAAGCGGCTCGTTCCGAGTCCTCGTCACCATCCGAGCTCGCATCGCCATTCGCTTTCTTCTTGTCTTTCTGGGTGTGATCCGCTTCCTTCTTGTCTTTCTTCTTGTCGTCCTTCTTGTCGGCCAGCAGCCAAAACGCGGCCTTGATGTCGGCAGCATGGTTGCCAGTCCCTCGTCTGTCATAAGCGTCGCGAACACTGTCACGGATTAGTATATCCCTCCTTGGCAGCCGCTTGGACGCGACTGAAGCCTCCTTCGTCCACGCCGAGTTGAGCGCAATGCGTAGTCGCAGACAATTTTGCGCGGCCGAGACGAGAGTCCTGACTTTGGCTGGTAAGTCGGCGACCCTGGCGCGACTGCTGCTGTCTCGACCACTGCCCGTCGACTTGGCGAGAGCCGGCTTGCTTTGCGCCCTCGTCTCAGACACGACCTGCAGATAGTCAATGCGATGCTAATCACGACCAATAAACCAGAGAGGATACTCACTACCACATCGCCCTCGTCCTCGCCCTCATCGTCTCCGTCCTCCGACTCTTGAGACTCAGGCCCTACATCGTCGACGTCGTCCTCATCCTCGACCTGACTCCCATCGTCGCCTGCGTCATCGTCATAAGCATCATCGCTGCCTCCGCCATCGCTGTCTTCGTCTGATTTGGGGTCATGCTCGCTCTCGACCGAGTCATCCTTGCCTGTTGCTCGGGCCTTACCCTTGTCCTGACGATGTGAAACAGAGCTATGTCTTAGCCTTCGCACAGTACGAGAAATCACTGCCTACCTTCCCACTCACCGGCAGTGCCTTCGGTTTGGCAGTACCGTGAGTGGACTTGCCACCGCCAGACTTAGGTTTTGTCGGTTTCAGCACACCGCCCTTACGACTACTGCCAGCGTTCTCCCTGGCTTCACGCCGCCCCCGACTACACATTTGATAGCTTAGCCAATAATAATGTGGATATATGAAGTGAATTACTCAGTGTTTGTGCAACATTCTCCTCGGCGGGATCCAAGGACGTCTCGGGTCTCGCGAATTTACCGTATGCCGGCTTCGGTTTGGCTTGGTAGAAATGCAGCGGTCTAGTCAGTAATGTGTACGTACAGCAGACCATGGTTGCCACGTACGTCGAGTGGTAGTAGGCTGCTTACTAGTAGTGTCATCCTCCATCTCGACATCTTCTGGCGTGTCTTCGACTGCCTTATCCTGCTCATCGGCTTCCGCCTCGTCCTCCACCACAGCACACTTCTTCTTTTTTGTTTTCGGTTGCTCTTCATCACTCAATAATTCTTCTTCGGCCATTATCTTCGACGCCCTCTTCCGGACCTCTTTCAAGCAGGCCATCAGCGATAACAGTTAGGTTCATTGCAGCACAAACGACGCTCACGAGTAGTGCGTCGCTCCTTCTCCTTCTCCTTCTCCCTTTCCTGACCCTTCTTCTTGGCGGCCACTTCTTTCGCCTTGCCCTTCGTGAATTTACTATTTTTCATGGAGCCGCCTGCGGCCTGGGTGTTGGTCGACCTGGTCGACCTGGGCGTTTCGGAGCCTTGTTCGGTTGCAACCGATCGGGTGACGCGCTTCGAGTCGGGCATGCCTGAATACGTAGCCAGAACACGGAGAGAGGAAAGACAGAGGATAGACTGTAGTGATATGAGAAACAAGAGACGCACCGTGGAATTTTACGTAGACGCTGCGAACTTCAACGATCGATGTGAGTGATGTTCATAGAGTCCGAGCGCTGTCAACCATGGGAAAGCGCTCATGGTATTCGCCAAAACGCGCAAGTTGAGTGAGGACGAGTGAAGCTATGTAGATACTAATAAATAAAAGTGGCGTTAGTAGAGCAACCATTGCGCTCCTCCAGCCACTTAATCATTTCTCTGTCCGTGTGCAATACAATGAAAGCCCGACGACCTTTGAAGTGTGAGTTTAAATGCGTCAATTTGCACGATGGAAATATCACGAAATCGCCGTTGCGAAGAGGTAGTATGACCAGACCTGGTTCATACAACTTGAACACAAGTTCGCCTCTGTCGATCGGAACTGTTGAGATATCGCTGCATAGGTTGCTAGCGGAGATCCCCACATGGCTCAGGTTCATGACTATGAAGTTAGCAAAAGGGTGGCAGTGAAGTCGCGGCGCCGCGGAGTCACGTCTAGTACCCTTGACAGACCCACATAGCCTCTTGATCGCAGTGGTGCATCCTGCCCTACCCTGCCTCCTGGACTGCGAATACGATCCTCTACCAACCTTATCGAGCACTGCGAGGCTACTAGTGTTAGACAACTCAGATCAGCAGACAGATCAGCCACGTCATAGTCGTTAAGAACCACATATTATTGTACTGAATACAACCGCCGTACAATTCAATACTACCTGGGCACTACATCAGGCTCGCGCGAGCTACATGCATGTCGATCTTCCGTACGTCCGGCACTGCTCCATGAGCTCGGGCTCAAATTGTGCTTGCGTGGTCTAAGGCGCGTAGGCTCATCGTGTGTATGCGGCGAGCTGGTCAGGGAGGCGCATCGTGAATTCTGGAACGATCGATACTCCTGCATGGGATGTTGGTGCTTGGCGGCCCAGCAATCCTCGGGAGCGATGTGGTAGGGTCATCCTCGACGTGCCTGTACGCATTGGACTGAGGCCTGTCGGGCTGCTGGTCAACGGGCCCTTGCGCACTGTGTGCTGGTTCACGTTCCGGTGGGCGCCTAGCGGGTACTCACCGAGTGGTCCTGCTTGTTGGGGCTGGTCAAGCCGGACATGCGTTCACCGTATTGCTGTGCGACGGGTGGTCGTATCCGTACGCATCGGCCGTATCCGTACGCACCGGTGCGTGGTTGCTGGGGCTGGTCAAGCCCGGCATCGTATTGGTGTGCGACGGATGGTGGTACCCGTACCCGTCGGTCGTATCTGTACGCATCAGTCGTACCCGCACGCATCGGCCGTATCCGTACGCACCGGTGCGTGGTTGCTGGGGCTGGTCAAGCCGCATCGTATTGGTGTGCGACGGATGGTGGTACCCGTACCCGTCGGTCGTATCTGTACGCATCAGTCGTACACGCACGCATCGGCCGTATCCGTACGCACCGGTGCGTGGTTGCTGGGGCTGGTCAAGCCCGGCATCGTATTGGTGTGCGACGGATGGTGGTATCCGTACCCGTCGGTCGTATCTGTACGCATCAGTCGTACCCGCACGCATCGGCCGTATCCGTACGCACCGGTGCGTGGTTGCTGGGGTGGTCAAGCCCGGCATCGTATTGGTGTGCGACGGATGGTGGTATCCGTACCCGTCGGTCGTATCTGTCCGCATCGGCCGTACCCGCACGCATCGGCCGTATCCGTTGACGCGACCGAAAAGAACACAAAAGCCACACAAAACCCAACCGTGAGGTCGAGCAGTGGTATGCGAGGCCTCTGTGTCTATGAGATGTACGGGGGACTGTACAGTGGTCTAGGTAAGAAGGAGGAGGACGGACAAGACTCCGAACGACGTGGGAGAGCTTCGAAGATGTTGAAGACTGTTCGAAGACGAGGGCTAAGCCTCGAAGGTAGGAGGGGGAGTTTCGACAGACGTGTCGAACGAACAGTGACAAGGAAGGCGAGCGACGGCAGGAGAAGAAGTGTAGAGCCTCTCGGGACAACTACGAGCTGGCGAACGTACTGACTGACTGGCGAACTTGCTGACTTCGAACGTACTGACTGACTGGCGAACTTGCTGACTTCGAACGTACTGGCTGACTGACGAACCTCGCCGGTGCGAGGTGAGATTGAGAGGGTAAGGGGGTCTCTGGGATTCGAAGGGAACCAGTCCAGAGTATATACAGGGAAACACGGCTATTACCACTACGGAGCTCCGACGGCCCCAAACATCCGGCTATGGCTTCTAACACGTGACAACTGCTCTCGGGCTCGCTAACCAGTGGTCCGAAGGCCGACCGGCTATCACATGACACCGGAAACCGAGACCACTCGTCGAGGATGTGAGACGACCTGCAAGGACTCACTGGACATCCTGTAGCATCCTATGGTCTCGCAGGAGATCTTCTAACACCGTAGCACGTCTTCTAACATGTTCGAGTGTCTTCTAACACATAGTGCATCTTCGAGTGACCTCCGTGCTCTGGGGTTGTCTAGATAGGTGGGTAGGTGCTCCTATAGCGTCACTGAGGTGCCGGAAGGTCGTGGATAGTCTTCCAAGGTGAGCCAGGGTTGGCTACGAACTTCGAAATCTTCGAACAGTTGTAGTGGATCTTCTAAGAGCTTCGGAGCATCGTAGAGGCCTAGATTGCATTTTCGGGGCTTAGATAGCCTAGAGGCGTATCATCTCCCCCTTACTGAAATCCTGACCGTCCTCGGTCAGCGGGTATAGCAGATGAAGGGTGCTTGTTTCGTAGAGGACCACCGGGGTCGGTAGAAGGCGAGGGATGGTTGAAAATGGAGGTAGACGTGAACTAAGGATTGCTTGGGTGGTATCGTCGCCCCTATGGCGGGAACAGGTCGTCTAGCACCATAGAAGACCCTAGCTGTCTTCGTGCAAAACACTGTCTGCATCCAGCTTGTCGAATGCATCTTCGAAGTGTTCGGAGGCTCCTAGGGACATCGTAGACTCCTTCTCCTTCTCTCTAGCCAGCGGTACACTGCGAGGTCTCGTCTTTGCATTGGGTGACTGCCTGACTGACATGTTCGGAGCTTGCTCTAGGTCGTCTCGAAGGAAGTCGAGGTCCTGACTGTCTCGTAACGCTCAGGCTCGGCCCCGAGGTGCAGCGGGCATCTTTGCAAGGTATTCACTCTACGAACGATTAGGTTTGTTGGGTCTGGGGCCATGTCGGGTGGTAGGACTAGGTACGTGTCTTCGAATGTTCGGAGTTGTTGTTCATGCACTCCACGTCGATCCCATGGCCATAGATTGTCTCCAAAAGCGAAAAACAGTGCGGCAGTGACGAACAGCACCACACACATGTAGAAGACTCTCGACACGTGTTTGGGTGGACCTGCTGGTTGCGAGAGCAATAGGGTATGTTGACGTCTTCGCGGTGTGGGTCTAGCTTTCGAGGCGTGTCTGGTGATGGTACTACCAAGTGGTCGTGGTGATCCTCCCCCTTACTGAAATTGTGACCGTCCTGGTCAGCGCAGAGATAGATACAAGAGATGGGCGGGGCGGGGAGGGAAGCATGGGCTGCTCGTCATGCTGGGCAACATAGTAGCCAGTGGAGGTGATAGGCCATCCATCGTAGGAGTGTTCGAAGATTTTGGCGGTAGCACAGGCACGGTAACTTCAAAGACGTAGGAGCAGAGTCTGGCAACATCGAAGGAGTGGGGTAGACATCATAGGAGGATCCAAGGCGTCGTAGTTGCAGAAAGATAGTCCGAACTTTTCGGAGCGTAAGCATAAGCATCCAATGATTTCGGAGGCATAGCAGGAAGGTCGGAAGGTTCCGGAGATGGGAGGGGACAGTTGACGATTCTAGAAATGGCATAAGAGGCTTCGAAGATTTCGTAGACCTGGGATGGTGGTCTGACAATCTCAGAGATGTAGCTCGAAAGTTCGAAGATTCTTGAGACGTAGGAGCGTGGTGTTGCAATTCTGAAGGGATAGAAGGGGTGTCAAACATCGTAGGAGTGTTCAAGGATTCCATCAGCGTAGAGAGATTGTTCGAAGACATCTGTTGATAGTCCAAAAATCTCGGAGACATGGCTTGACCGTTCGAAGATTTCGGAGACGTAGGGGCATGATCTGGCCATTTCGGAGAGATAGGAGGAGTGTCCAATGTCGTAGGAGCACTCAAAGATTCCGTCGACGTGGGGAGATCACCGTTCAAAGGCTTCAAAGACATAGGTCGATAGTCCGAACATTTCGGAGGTGCAGGTTGGTCATCTGACAATCTCGGAGACGTAGGTCGACTGTCCGAAGATTTCGAAGATGTAGGTCGTATGTCTGAAGACTTCGAAGACGTAGGAGTCTCTTCTAATGTAAGGCTGCCCTCCGGAAGGTCCCCTAACACGGTGACAGCTGGGGAAGTGTCTTCGATCATAAGGCTGTAGTTCGAAAGTGGTTCCATAGCTGCAGTGTTTGTAGACGCCTGGTTCGTCTTGCGCTCCGCCGTCCGAGGCGTCAGTGCTGCCCAGTATCGGTCGCGAAGGTACGAAGGCAATTCTCGAAGCTCCTCAGATGTCAATGGTACACACGGAGTGTTCGATGAGGACTCAACAGCCAGTTCGGCAAGCTGGGGCGGGGGATGTGCTATAAAGAAGCTGGCTCGGCTCTGTCGCTTCGTGGGAGATGCTTCGAAATTTCGAGGGCTCGCTTCGAACTTCGTAGGGGTCGCTTCGAAACGTTGGGTGGGAGGAGGTGCGTAGGTCATGTCTCGAACATTTGCAGATGGGAAAGCGGGACTCTCGGTGTCGATGGTAGGTCGGACGACTGGCGCAGGTGCTAGGGTACTTGGTCTTGTCTTCGAACATGACAGGCGGTTTGGGGCTCGCTCCGAAAACTTCGAACACGTCATGGGTAGTAGTGGTTGATCAGCCAGGTGGGTGTTCGAGCGTAGGGGATGCTTCTCGATGACAACTCGGTCGACAACGGTCTGCTTATGCTGTTCCCGAGCATAGATCTCCGTCAACCGTGATAGCTGGGTGTCCATGCAGGCTAGCATCTCTCCAATGTCGAGGGCATGCGTAGGGATAGGCGGACTCTCGACTGCTTCATAGAGCAACTGCGTGGCTGTAGCGCCTTGCATAGCACTGCCTGAACCACTCGAAGACGACGAACTGAGTCCTAACTTGCTCGAACGACGTGCATGTTCGTAGATAGCGTCTCGGAGGGTCTCGCTGTCTCGGCGACTCATGAAGCGGTTGTCGAACGAGACGATCTTGCCATCGGGGTTCCGTCGACACAGGCCCTTCTTCCTGTCTTCTTCGAACATCTCGCAGTCGCCGATCCAACATCCCGAACGTCCGCAATAGAAGCACCGAGGGCTGTCATGACTGTTCGAGAATTCGGGTGACCGGCTGTGAGACTGCTGGGCCTCGAGGGTCTTGATCAGCGTCTGTAGCAATGGTAGGAGGTCTTCGGACTTCGTGGTCACAGGTGGGGATGGCAGGATAGACACAGCGGGTGTGGTCGTAGGCATAGGGGGACTAGCTTGCCGAAAGGTCGAAGCTGGTGTAGGACCATCTAACACCCACTGTGCTGACTCGTAGATCTCTGTGAACGTCCAGGGCTTCCTTCGAGAGCGGTCAGGGTTCCGCATGAACAGGCGCTGCTCAATGGGACCCCAGAGCGTATTCGGAAAGCCTTGCTGGAACTTCCGATCTTGTTCGAGTGTCGAAAGCGAACCTCGAGCAATCAGGTACTCCGAAATCATGTAGAAGTCGCGGTAGTAGGCAGCGAGGTGGAGGGCATTGGTCATCCCGAGTTCTGTGCGATCATGGACGACCGTGTCGAGATCAGCGAGCGAGTACTTGTGCTCGTCATCAGCTCCAGGATAGAGTGCTCGTAGGGCGGTCACGAACTCCTCGTAGGGCTTCGTAGCATCCTTGAATGTTGGCTGCATCATCCATAGGTCGGAGACGTGGATAGGAGGGTAGCGAACTGCCCATGACTTCTTGTCGGAGTCGTCGGTAACTCGGCATCGTGCGAAGTGTGTTTCGAGGTCTTGGAAAAAGTGGTTGAATGAGAAAGGTTCTGACTCGTCGAAGACAGGTGCAGTGGAGTGGCCGCGTGCAGGCATTGAAGCCGCCTTCGAGGCTGGTGCTCCTGCGTCGGCCATATTCGGACTCAGCTTCGAAGTGTTAGAAGGAGTTGGCGAAGCGATAGAAGGGATTGTTGAAATGTTCGAAGGTATTGTCAAAGTGTTCGAAGGGTTAGGGGTGTCGACGGTCGAAGTCCGTCACGGCGTGGACTGCTCTGGTCCTGGAGGGACTGACGACACTCTACGACTGGTGGGTATGGGTAGACGTGAGGTGGAAGATCCTCTACGCGTGGTGACTGTGGCTGAGGTGGGTTCCTCTCCTTCGAGAGGTGGTGATGGTGTTAGAAGCGGTAGAGGGGATCCGAAGACTAGTGCCTCTAAGTCGTCTGCAAGCAAGAGTCTTCGAGCACGTCTGGAATGGGATGGGGTAGTAGGCACTTGGTCTCGAACGGAGTGTTCCGGATCGTCGTGATCGGGGACAAGCTCGACGTTTTCGGGCGAAGAGGGGATAGTCGAAGGTCCTGGGAGAGGGTTGCTATGCCTGCGAAAGGCGGCGGCTGATCGGGGACCTAGTCTACTGTCGATAGCGAGTGCGAGGAGAGGACTTTCGTAGTCTCGGTAGTCTTCAGGGTTGACTTCGAAGTTCCGACGCGGCGGAATCTTGCTCTATATCCCCCTCGCGGTGGGCTCCAAGATGACGCGACCGAAAAGAACACAAAAGCCACACAAAACCCAACCGTGAGGTCGAGCAGTGGTATGCGAGGCCTCTGTGTCTATGAGATGTACGGGGGACTGTACAGTGGTCTAGGTAAGAAGGAGGAGGACGGACAAGACTCCGAACGACGTGGGAGAGCTTCGAAGATGTTGAAGACTGTTCGAAGACGAGGGCTAAGCCTCGAAGGTAGGAGGGGGAGTTTCGACAGACGTGTCGAACGAACAGTGACAAGGAAGGCGAGCGACGGCAGGAGAAGAAGTGTAGAGCCTCTCGGGACAACTACGAGCTGGCGAACGTACTGACTGACTGGCGAACTTGCTGACTTCGAACGTACTGACTGACTGGCGAACTTGCTGACTTCGAACGTACTGGCTGACTGACGAACCTCGCCGGTGCGAGGTGAGATTGAGAGGGTAAGGGGGTCTCTGGGATTCGAAGGGAACCAGTCCCAGAGTATATACAGGGAAACACGGCTATTACCACTACGGAGCTCCGACGGCCCCAAACATCCGGCTATGGCTTCTAACACGTGACAACTGCTCTCGGGCTCGCTAACCAGTGGTCCGAAGGCCGACCGGCTATCACATGACACCGGAAACCGAGACCACTCGTCGAGGATGTGAGACGACCTGCAAGGACTCACTGGACATCCTGTAGCATCCTATGGTCTCGCAGGAGATCTTCTAACACCGTAGCACGTCTTCTAACATGTTCGAGTGTCTTCTAACACATAGTGCATCTTCGAGTGACCTCCGTGCTCTGGGGTTGTCTAGATAGGTGGGTAGGTGCTCCTATAGCGTCACTGAGGTGCCGGAAGGTCGTGGATAGTCTTCCAAGGTGAGCCAGGGTTGGCTACGAACTTCGAAATCTTCGAACAGTTGTAGTGGATCTTCTAAGAGCTTCGGAGCATCGTAGAGGCCTAGATTGCATTTTCGGGGCTTAGATAGCCTAGAGGCGTATCACCGTACGCACCGGTGCGTGCTTGCTGGGGCTGGTCAAGCCGGGCATGTGCTCGTCGTATTGGTGTGCGACGGATGGTCGTACCCGTACGCATCGGCCGAATCCGTACGCACCGGTGCGTGCTTGCTGGGGCTGGTCAAGCCCTGCATGCGCTCGCCGTATTGGTGTGCGACGGATGGTGGTATCCGTACCCGTCGGTCGTATCTGTACGCATCAGTCGTACACGCACGCATCGGCCGTATCCGTACGCACCGGTGCGTGGTTGCTGGGGCTGGTCAAGCCCGGCATGCGCTCGCCGTATTGGTGTGCGACGGATGGTCGTATCTATGCCCGTCGGTCGTATCTGTACGCATCAGTCGTACCCGCACGCATCGGCCGAATCCGTACGCACCGGTGCGTGCTTGCTGGGGCTGGTCAACCCGGACATGCGCTCGCCGTATTGGTGTGCGACGGATGGTGGTATCCGTACCCGTCGGTCGTATCTGTACGCATTAGTCGTACCCGCACGCATCGGCCGTATCCGTACGCACCGGTGCGTGGTTGCTGGGGCTGGTCAAGCCCGGCATCGTATTGGTGTGCGACGGATGGTGGTATCCGTACCCGTCGGTCGTATCTGTACGCATCAGTCGTACACGCACGCATCGGCCGTATCCGTACGCACCGGTGCGTGGTTGCTGGGGCTGGTCAAGCCCGGCATGCGCTCGCCGTATTGGTGTGCGACGGATGGTGGTATCCGTACCCGTCGGTCGTATCTGTCCGCATCGGCCGTACCCGCACGCATCCGCCGTATCCGTACGCACCGGTGCGTGGTTGCTGGGGCTGGTCAAGCCCTGCATGCGCTCGCCGTATTGGTGTGCGACGGATGGCGGTATCCGTACCCGTCGGTCGTATCTGTACGCATCAGTCGTACACGCACGCATCGGCCGTATCCGTACACACCGGTGCGTGGTTGCTGGGGCTGGTCAAGCCCGGCATGCGCTCGCCGTATTGGTGTGCGACGGATGGTGGTATCCGTACCCGTCGGTCGTATCTGTACGCATCAGTCGTACCCGCACGCATCGGCCGTATCCGTACGCACCGGTGCGTGCTTGCTGGGGCTGGTCAAGCCGGGCATGTGCTCGTCGTATTGGTGTGCGACGGATGGTCGTACCCGTACGCATCGGCCGTATCCGTACGCACCGGTGCGTGCTTGCTGGGGCTGGTCAACCCGGGCATGCGCTCGTCGTATTGGTGTGCGACGGATGGTCGTACCCGTACGCATCGGCCGAATCCGTACGCACCGGTGCGTGCTTGCTGGGGCTGGTCAAGCCCGGCATGCGCTCGTCGTATTGGTGTGCGACGGATGGTCGTACCCGTACGCATCGGCCTGGTTGCTGGGGCTGGTCAAGCCGGGCATGCGCTCGTCGTATTGGTGTGCGACGGATGGTGGTATCTGTGCCCGTCGGTCGTAGTATCTATACGCATCAGTCGTACCCTGGTAGTGTGTCCCGGAGCCGGGGCCTGGACGCTCGGAGGCATCGAGCACCAGGTGGTGTTTCCTAGCAGGAGTCAAGTAGTTTTACTGAACGCACCGTGGATTACGCTGCGTTGGACTACAGCCAACTCCGCGCGCTGTCCCGACATTACGGACTGTCCACGCGACGCGCAACAGCCCGAGCGTAACAGGTGTCTAGGCGGAGCGCCGCGATCACACCGTACTATGCTTGGGCGAAGGTTGTTGCTGCGAGGACGCAGGACTTCAGTGTGCTAGCGCGGAGTCTACGTCGACAGGCGTGCGTGCTTCAGTGGTCCGAAGAAGGCGGATTCGATACCTCAGAGCATGCGCACACCGGATTGTCTTCATGGCGGTCGCACTTGGTGGACATTAGTGGTTTCCCTCATGTTCGTCACCGCCGTGGTCGTGCTTGTGGGGAATCCGCGTACCGGGGTAAATCCCCTTGCGTCGGTCGCCATTTGGTCAGCCGTTTGGTCGGCCTTGGTGGCCATTTGCTTGCTGGGGTCCGAGTCATCTGCGGAGGGAACCAAGGGCGTGTGGCGCACTCACCTGATAACACGGTCTGCTAGCCGCATCGTCCCTCCCTCACTGTGTCATGAGGACACATTCCTGTACGCGCTCCAGCCGCACATCCGGCGTCCTGCAGCACGTCAGCCCCTGTACTCCCTCCGACAGTGAAGAAGGATCCCCACGCGGTTTACCTGGTAGACAGGCGAGGTGGGAAAAGGATGCGACTCGGAGTGAGGGATGGACGTACCATCGGCAGCGCAGACTTACGGGCGGGCAGGCGGGCGGGTGAGCGAGCGGACCGAAGTATAGATGCCCAACAAAGTGACGAGCGGGAGCATGCACAAAAGAAATTACGGGTGAATGGGAGCGTGAAGCGGACGAGCGGGTGGACAGGAGCAGGGGCGAGAGAGTGTAGGAGAGGGAACTTGAATACAAGTGAGAGGGAATACGAGTGTGTGTGTGTGGACGTGGACATGAGAGAGTGCGGGCGAAAGAGAGCGCGGGTGAAAGAGAATACGAGCAAAAGAGAGCATGAGTGTACAGACAAGCCAGTGCGCAGGCAAGCGGGTGAGGAGAAAGACAGATGGGCAGGAGGAGGGGCAAAGTATGGGGTCACCAGAGCCGGCGCCGCAGAGCGTCACGGTCGACGAGTCGGTCGGCACTTCCCGACCACGGGCGCTCTACACTTCGTGATGCCAGCGACGAGCGTTGACTCTCATCCTCCTCCTAGCCACCTCGACTCTGGCCCGCTCATCTGACCAACTACTGCATGCTGCACATCGATCACACTACGACTCCAAGTCCATATGACAAGATACTAATAGATGGTGAGTGGCCCCGCTATCATAGCGAGGCTGCTACAGCGCGCTGACCAACACCACACTGTCTCTTACCTGCCCGCCCTCTCGCGCCTGCCTGTTCTCGCCCACCGGCCCGCCCTCTCTTATCTGCCCATTTGTGCCAGCCTGTCCACGTATTTTCACCGCGACGCTACTTAGGCTTCTCGCACACCCGACAGCACCCTCACGCCTCGCCCCGCTCTCATTCATCTTCAAATACGGTCTATATGGACAACTCACGCGCCAGGCCAGGCCATCCGCGATCCGCGAGTTCAGTGAGTGGTCTGATAACTACTTCGAGGAGCTCCCCCGCCTCTCTGACTGATCTCTGTTACAAGGTGCATGCCGAGGCGAATGTGCCTCCGCCACGCGCATGTAGAACACCCGCCATCGCGCGAGACGGGCTCGCACCTTGCCCACCTTCTCGTCTACTTGTGCGCACCTTCTCGCCCTCCTGTCCGCTCTCACCCGCCTGCCAAATCTCGTCCGCCCACTGCGCGACCATCCATGACCCGCATGACCCGTACGACCCGCGCGAACCCGCACACAACCCATACCCGCTGTCGCGGGACTACACCCGGGGCAAGTACGGGTACGGGTACGCTTCGGGACATCTGCGGCTGGATCTCAACCAATACCACACTCACGGCGGCCAGCGAGCACGCTGGGTCAATGCCGAGCATTCGGACACGGCCGGCAGATGTATGCAAAGCGAGCGGGCGGGCAAGCAGTGGACGGATGAGCAGGCGGGCTGGTGGATCGGACGGACAGCCTGCAGGGAGACGAGCGAGTAGGAGAGTGGCTGACTAACAGACCGCGCGTGGGTGAGCAAAAGGCGGGAGATGGCGATGGTGGGCAGGGCTGCGCGCGCGCAACGCACCGATCGCGATGGCGAGAGCGAAGTCACGGGTGCAAGCACGACGTGCGCGACGACGGCGAGCACGCAGACCAAATGCGCTGCCTGCAAAAGCGACCAACGGGCAGACCGCAAACTCGAATCATGCATAGTGTCCCGCAATGTAGTCCATAGATTTACATATATAGTCATTCTTTTCATTGCAATGTGTCCGAGCGCAGCATATCATCAGCCTGCAAAATGGACAACTCGTCTGGTAGCTAATGGCTCAGTTACTGCGTAACGGCCTGCTAACGACTGTTCACGGATTTGAGCGCCGGGCTTCTAAAATTTGCTAACCTGTCTAACGAGCTGACGAGCTGACCATTGCTAAAATCCAAATTTCAGATGCTGTTAGAGGCTGTTAGCAAAAGCTGTTAGAGGCTGTTAGCAAAATCGCCGAAGTTCTGATTGGGAGTCGTACCCGCACGCATCGGCCGTATCCGTACGCACCGGTGCGTGGTTGCTGGGGCTGGTCAAGCCCGGCATGCGCTCGTCGTATTGGTGTGCGACGGATGGTCGTACCCGTACGCATCGGCCGTCCGCGTACGCACCGGTGCGTGCTTGCTGGGGCTGGTCAAGCCCGGCATGCGCTCGCCGTATTGGTGTGCGACGGATGGTCGTATCTATGCCCGTCGGTCGTATCTGTACGCATCGGCCGTACCCGCACGCATCGGCCGTATCCGTACGCACCGGTGCGTGCTTGCTGGGGCTGGTCAAGCCGGGCATGCGCTCGTCGTATTGGTGTGCGACGGATGGTCGTACCCGTACGCATCGGCCGTATCCGTACGCACCGGTGCGTGCTTGCTGGGGCTGGTCAAGCCCGGCATGCGCTCGCCGTATTGGTGTGCGACGGATGGTCGTATCTGTGCCCGTCGGTCGTATCCGTACGCACCGGTGCATGCCTGTTGGGTCTGGTCAAGCCGGGCATTGGTGTGCGACGGATGGTCGTACCCGTACCCGTCGGTCGTAGTATCTATACGCATCAGTCGTACCTGTACGCATCGTTCGTATCCGTACGCACCGGTGCGTGCTTGCTGGGGCTGGTCAAGCCCGGCATGCGCTCGCCGTATTGGTGTGCGACGGATGGTCGTATCTATGCCCGTCGGTCGTATCTGTACGCATCGGCCGTACCCGCACGCATCGGCCGTATCCGTACGCACCGGTGCGTGCTTGCTGGGGCTGGTCAAGCCGGGCATGCGCTCGTCGTATTGGTGTGCGACGGATGGTCGTACCCGTACGCATCGGCCATATCCGTACGCACCGGTGCGTGCTTGCTGGGGCTGGTCAAGCCCGGCATGCGCTCGCCGTATTGGTGTGCGACGGATGGTCGTATCTGTGCCCGTCGGTCGTATCCGTACGCACCGGTGCATGCCTGTTGGGTCTGGTCAAGCCGGGCATTGGTGTGCGACGGATGGTCGTACCCGTACCCGTCGGTCGTAGTATCTATACGCATCAGTCGTACCTGTACGCATCGTTCGTATCCGTACGCACCGGTGCGTGCTTGCTGGGGCTGGTCAAGCCCGGCATGCGCTCGCCGTATTGGTGTGCGACGGGTGGTCGTATCCGTACGCGTCGGTCGTATCTGTAAGCATCAGTCGTCTCCGTACGCATCGGTGCGTGCTTGTTGGGGCTGGTCAAGCAACAAATCGAATAACTGCGATAGCGATGGTACAAGATAGCATGAGCGATAGCGACAAAGAACCAAGGCATCTAAGGGACGACTACGTCAATCTTACACCGCTGGAGACTACACAGACGAGAGCTAGAGAACTACCGTTATTCGTACACTGGTCTCCTGGATGATACAACAAGCGAGGTGAGACGATCGGAGACACTATGATCACGACTGAGACGACGGGGGCGACGAGGGCGACGGGGACGACGCATACGAACGAGCTCACCCGCGGGAGGTACTCGGTCCATCGCGAGCACGATCGTTGGTGCCCTCCGAGTCGTCTTCGCTGCTGTCACCGACACCCTCCCCACGCTTGCGTTTGAGATAATTGTTCTCCAGACGATCTAGGCAAGCCATGATGTCTTCCCCCTTCGAATTGCGCCCCCGCTTCCCGGGTTTGCTGCCTTGCGAAACGGTCGCGTCTTGACCGGTGATCCTCGAGTTGTCGCAGAGGCGTTCACTTGCAGTGCCGTATGCGCCCAACCGGATCTCGCGAACAAGACGAGGAATGCAGTCGTCAAAGTTCAGAGTTTCCTCGGGCGGATTGAGGAGGCGCAGCAGGTATATGCGAAGTTGTCCGAGCCGCTTTTCATGTTCCTCTGGGGGGAGGTCCATCAGCGCCGTGTCGATGGTCTGCTCATTCTCATCGAGCATCAGTTGGCCCGCCAACAAGGCTAGTTTCTCCTTGTAGGCTTGCACGACCTTGCCCATGAACGCCTCGACCTGCAGCTGCTGCGCCTCATTATACGAATCGAGGAGAGGCTTGCTAGAGTGTCAGTGGATTTGAAGTCACAACAGAACACGCTGACTTACGATTGCAAGGCCCCTAGCGACCCACTCCTCCATCGGCCACTTCGCCTTCACGCCCTCCCTAAAGATTTCCAGTTGGTCGAGGGGGATGTGAAACCAATAGACGCGAACAGCGCCGAAGAAGACTTTGCCCTTCGCGACGAATGGACCCGCTTTGTGTATCAACTCCGGGTACGTCTTCAGCATCTTGTTGTAGGCGTCGGCATCGAATTTCAGGTCTTTGAGTCGATGATAACCGATCCCTGGCGATGACCACTTCGCCTTCTCGCTACCGGTCTTCTGCAGCTCCTGGATCCTGAAGCAGTTGAGGGCGATGAGGTTCAGTGAGTCTTCATCGTCATCGTCGACCTCCTCGTCTCGATAGGCTACGAACCGGTCCGCCATCTCCAAGATCTGCCGTACCAGCTAGATTGAGTAGACTGCACCGATGATTAGTTAAAATTTCTGACCTTATTGAGTACGCCTTCCGTAGCGCCTTCGTATTCGGTGTACGTAGGCTGAGACTGCGCCGTCTCGTCCAGAGAAGTGATGACCAGTTCGCTGCCCACTTTGATTGCCTCGACGGCGTCGGCGATCTTCTTCTTCCCTCCTTTTCCACGCACAGACGCGTAGTCCGCGGTATCGTCAGAAATACCGAGGAGCCTTCGTAACCACACCGGCGGAAGGAAGTATTCAACGAATCGCTCGTGGAGCATCAACTTCTTCAATGCACCGAGACGGTTGTGTAGGTGAGTTGGCGACATCGTTGTTAATTCGTTCTTCTCTGGATCATAATCAAAACTACGATATCATGTTCGAAATTATTATTTGAATCTGTTCGAGAAATCAGTACCCACCTGTACCGGTTTAGCTCGTCGTGGGTCTGAAGCCACTCCTGCAATGCCTTCCACTCTGTCTCAGTGAAGCCGGTGACCACCTGCACAGTGTAATAACAATTTAAATCTCACAGGTATCGAACTGCTAAACGGCAAATAACACTTACGAACTCGCCTGCGGCGTAGGGAAGCTCGTTGTAGCGATCCCCGAACGCCTTTCGGACTACCTCAGGGTATTGTTCCTCCTTGTCGGTCTCGATCTCCTCGATAGCTAGCAGATGTCGATCATCAGTGGATCGCGTAGGTATGCCTGTAGTAGGCACGTCATACGTACCAGGCTCCTTATTGACTGAGTTCGACTTGTCTCTGGTCGGGCTAATCTCTACCGATTTGATGCCGCACATTAACGAGCGCGCTGCGTGGAGATGGCGCATCCGGATACTCACCTGGCTCGGCAGAGCTTGCTTTCTTGAAATTGTTAGAGTGTTTAGACCTGGATCTTGCTATATAATGAATCTGTCAGTACCAACGAAGCGACGATAAAATTCTGTAAGTACTCACCTTCAAGGCTCGTGGCCTGAGATTGGTAGCTCGAGTAAGCGCTGTCCCCCTTCAAGCTGTCGTTGCCATTGGTAAGACGAGGAGAGATGGATAGAGGTGAGCGGATGGTGTGAGGGACAGAGCGAGAGCGAACGATAGAAGTGGGAGACATCTTCGTTCACGATGGTGACTCAGAGTATGAGGACCCTCAAGAACCTGCCTGGGGCCGGCCGCCACTCAGGCAAAGGAGCTAAGCATGTCGTCAAGTGACCGGCCTAGCATGTGCAACGCCGGCACAGCCTCCCCTCAGAGTCCGCAGAGAATTTGTGGCCTTACTGTATGCGTTCTTCGTGTTCTCACTATGCCATCGCGTGCCCCGCCCAATTGGCTCTTCCAGCTTGTGTTACTCACGCTGGATCTTCGCTACCCCCCATTACAGCCAGACGCACTTCCACGGCGGACCGGATTCATCTGTTGTATTAAAGCGGCACAGGCCCTGCTTTCTCCGCTGTGCCTGTGGCATGTGACAGCTGATGCGCCACAGCTGTCACACGCCACAGCTCGCGATGTCGCATAGCATTGAAGTCCGTAAGGAAGAGAAAAAAAGCTGAAGTACGCACCTTGGGTAGGTTTCCAATACACGCCAACTCCTATGCGATCAAGATGATCGAGTGTGACCTACAACAAACGGTAAACTGGTCAGTTCAGCATCACGTAGGTATTAGGAGAAAGGATGAATGTTACCAACGCCCTAGCGCTGTCGGGTCCGAGACGAACGTGAAGGTTGAACGTTGAACGTTGAAGGAGAAACGCACCGTGCAACGCGCTTCGTCTGACGCTCACAAACGCCCTAGAGTAACGTAATGACATATGAAGGGTGGTTGCAATTTATGCAATGAGTTTCAAAATTTTGGCCCCTCCCTCGTTCGCTTTCCTCTCGGCCCTCATTCCCAGTGCGTATTTATTCCTCTGCTGTGTTTTTGTGAGCCTAAAATCAGTTTATGGGCTAGGTATGGTGAAGCGAAAGCGCACCTTCGACGAGCTCCTCGGCGATACATGCGGCGCTTGTCACCAACCATTCCGAACGACGCAGGGCCTCTGCGCTCACCAGACCATGAGCAAGAAATGCTCATGGTATAAGAAAGGAAACTAAAAGAAATTTTACCGTCAAGGACCATCCGGTAGCGTTGGAAGACGGCGTGATAGTTGAGCACACGCGGTAAGCTCCTAGAAGTCCTACAGGTTTGGACAATTAAAATAATGCGTACATTCAGGCGCACCGACCTTCGGCAGACCCGACCATTCTGGCGACGAGTCAGAGCATGTCCCCAATCCATCACCTGAAGAGGACGCAAATGAAGACCTTGAAGAAGAGAAGAGGACGATGAGGACCTCTCGTCACTTACGATTTCATAGAGGTCTGCGCACCTTCCAAGCCGCCGGCGATCCAGGAGGGTACGGAGACGGACACGATGGTGGAGGTGGAGGTGGACACGGTGATGGCGGCGGCAACACAGGCAGCGCTGCAGCAGGGCCTCAACTCGAAGTACAAGACAACTGCGCTCTCGCTGGATGACGACACGACGAGCGAATAGTAGACGAAGATGCGGCGCGGCAGGTTGCGTAGACGAAGAGGTGCGCAGGAAATGGCTGAGGGAAGGGAAGGTGGACGTTCAGGTTAGTAAGGATGCTGACACACACCTATGACGACTTGCATTCTGACTGTTGAACTAGGATTAGCAAGTCAAGTAGTTGTCGAGAACGCAGGGGAACGCGAGGGAAGACGCGACAGACGGGGTACAGCAAAGCAGCCGAAGAACCATGGGAGCCCTTCGAGTCCGAGATGGACTGGCGTTCGCGTCATGGGCAATCCAGGAAGGACTACCAGGGTTCCATGACAGAGCGTTGGAAATCCCGGGGTGAGTACTTGCACTTCTGAGTGATACTGCTGACGTACCTCAGTTCAGAGAAACTCGGCTGTCATATCACAACAGTCGATCCTCCTCCAACGTGTGGATTCTCTGCCCGAGAGGGCGGAGTGGATTGAACGGTCCTCTCGTTCAAGGACCGCCGAACGAGAGGCACTCTTCCAGTTCCGCGACATATCCAGCTATACGCACTTGCTGGCAACCCGAACACTGATCAAATGTGTATCGACCCGGCGAATCTTTTCAGACGCTTCGAGGAAGCATCGCCTCTACAACGAGATGTGGACTGGCCGTTGGTGGCATGCCGTTCAAGTGAGTGCTCTACATCAGTTCATCGCCCAAATTTCTGAAGCACCTGTAGAGCATCTTACCTGTAGGCTCTACTGTAGCACCTGTCATTATCGCTACCGACAAAACTCAGTTGACGCAATTCTCGGGAACAAGGCTGCTTACCCGGTCTACATGACACTCGGCAATATACCGCGTGCTCTAAGGCGTAAGCCGTCTGAGCATGCATGTATACTCATAGGCTACCTTTCGGTCGACAAGGTCAGCTCGGACGGCATTACGCAGCGCAAGCAACGCGCCCTTGTGCAGCAATTATTCCATGCGTCCGTGCGTGCGATCTTGGAGCCACTGGTCGCTGCAGGAAAGGAAGGAATCGACGTGACATCGGCCAATGGGAGGTTCGAAGAGTGCACCGATCCTCGCAGCATATGTCGCGGATTATCCAGAGCAGTGCCTGGTCACTTGCGCCAAGTCTGGGACTTGCCCCAAGTGCCAGGTACCGGAGGAGCTGCTCGAATCCGGCAAGCCAGGTACGCCGCGTACTTCCCTCTGGACATTGGATGTCCTGCGCCGCGCCAGCGAGAAGACGCAAGGCAAGACGAGCTCGAACGCGTACACTCGAGCCTGTCAAGACCTCAACGTATCCGGCTACGTCGTGCGCCCGTTCTGGCGCGATCTTCCGTACACCGACATCCATTCGTGCATAACCCCTGACGTACTACATCAATTGTACCAGGGTGTTTTAAGCACATCGTCGAATGGTGCACTCAACTTGTCGACGAGCACGAGCTCGACAGGCGCATCCGCTGCCTTCCGCCTGCGTTCGGTACCCGCCACTTCAAGAACGGGATTTCCTCCTATCCCAGGTCTCGGGACCGAGCGTAAGCACATGGCTCGCATACTGCTTGCCTGTCTGGTCGGCAAGATACCGAAGAAAGCAATCCTCGCTTTCAGGTCTATTCTAGACTTCATTTATCTCGCACAATACACTACTCACGACGACACGACGCTCCAGTACATGGAGGACGCCCTCAAGACCTTCCACAGCAACAAGAACATTCTCGTCGATCTCGGAGTGCGCGATCATCTTAATATTCCGAAGTTCCATTCATTACTTCACTACGTTGACGCAATCCGACTACTAGGCTCTACGGATAACTACAACACGGAGGCGTTTGAACGTCTCCACATCGACTACGCGAAGAAAGGGTGGAGAGCATCAAACCATCGCGATGCGCGTCCGCAGATGGTTCGTTGGCTGGCACGACAGGAGAAGATGGTCGTGCTCAGCTCAACCATCCACCGCTGGCTCAGGAGTACTGGCCGAGAGCCTGCAGACGACGTCAGTGACAGTGACACAGGCGACTCCGAGCAAGACCGGATACCAGGCTCTCGAATCAACTGTCGAATTAAATTACCCAAGCATCCCACTGCACCCCTCCAGGCTCTCCGTACTATTGTCGACAAACACCGAGCTCCCGGCTTCATCGACACCCTCGCGCAGTACATCTACACACTCAAGAACGGACGCTCTCTCACCTCGTCCCAGCTTCAGCATGCAGTCGACCGCATGCCTTTCCAACGCCTCGACGTGTTCCACGGATTCAAATTTGCTCCTGAACCGTTGACGGACGACGCGTTGGAGACGGACGCGGTGAAAGCAAAGCCCGCCACTGCTGGACAAGCAGCACGTTTCGATACTGTAGTTGTACTGCAGGGAGAGGATGCCGAAGCCACTGGATTGCAAGGTAACTACCTCGGGTTTTTTCGTAGACGGCTCTTCTAACTTGAATATAATCACTGAGTACAGGTACCAGGATCGGACGCGTCAAGGTTATATTCAAGCTACCTACTAGTGACATTAGAGACCCTCGCACCCTCCAGCCGCTGCAACCTCCATTGGAATGGGCTAGCCAAGGGCCTCTCGCCTACGTTGAATGGTTTTCTAAGCTACCAGCCCAAGCTGATCCGATACATATGATGTATCCTGTACACAAACCTCCCCTTCGCGCGAACGGCAAGCCCGTCGGTGATATCATTCCTTTGTCACTCATTCGCCAATCATGTCAGCTTGTCCCCTGTCCTCCTGGAGCACGCGCCGTGGCGAACCTACCTGATGATTGGGACACCCATACCGTCCTCGATCAGGCGCACAAGTTCTGGCTCAATAATTGGACATCCAAGTACGCCTATCAGACACTTTGGTAGAGTAATCAACGTAGCAATACAATTCCGTCCTGTAATTCCAGTTACACAAATATCTGAATGACTAGTAGCAACGCTTCATGATTCTTCAAACCGAATTTCCGCACTTCATACCACTCAAGAGTACTCGCCACCTTGAGTCGATTGCTCTCGGCGTTCTCCGGAGTGGGCGCTTCGCACTGCTGTCCTCGTCAACAAGTGCAGACCACCTCTGCTACTTCGCTCACCTGCCTTCTCGTCTGTTCGCCTCTACCCGCCCGTCTACGACCTAGCTCAGCAGCGAGCTTACTATTCTGCTGACTTGTGCTCTCGGTACCCTTCTTTCTCTCTCGGCTGTCGACTTCTCGTTCTCCCGGTCGTCCGACCACCCGCTCAACCTGGCGCTTGCATTCTGCTCCCTCGCTCAGGCTCGTCTTCTCGCCTGCCCGCCCTCAACTGTCTATCTACGTACTTTTCCGACTGCCTGCTATCTCTTCTACTGACCTGTTGTAACAGCTGCCTTCTTTCTCTCTCGGTTGTCCACTTCTTGCCCTCCCAGTCTGACCACCCACTCAGCCGGGTCGCTTGCTCTCTCGCCCGTCTGCATGTCTCTGGCCTGCCCGCTTTCTTTCATACCATTCGTTAACTCGTCAGCCCATGTGCACGGTCATCCCCAAGCTGGCCTGCCCACCTGTCGTGTATATCTGTGCGTTCAGTGTCTCCCCGCACATCTGTTTGCCTTGGTGCGTATTGCGTATGTCGTTCTTCTGTCGCCCGCAGATGTTTGTATGATCTAATTTCGGTGTGATGGGCCGGCCTCGAGAGGGTTGTGCAAAGAGCGAGGAGGGAGCCAGGTACGTGAGGGCGAGAAAAGCGGGCATGAACCGTTGAACGACCGAAGCCGCAGGTAAGTGCTTGTTCGCTGTTGGCTCGTAGCTCATCGTAAGTATCAGCACAGCAAGGAAAGAAGGCTCCTCTCGCCGACCTCTCGCCCATCAACTCACTCGCCCGTCCTCCAGACAGTCCCATGGGCGCAGAACGGAACTCGATGAGGGCAGCACAAAGGATGAGGAGGAGGACGGAGGCAGGTACTGCGAGGGCGAGAAAAGCGGGCACGAAGGGCTCGAGAGCCGCAGGTACACCCTTGTCCGATGCACTAACTACCACGCGGGAAAGAATGGTCCTCTCACCGGTCCTCTCTTTCACCTACGCCTCGTTCGCCCGTCATTTGCTCGCCCGCCGTCTCGCTTCAAGGTTCACTCACTCGAACTCTGCTTCGATCGCCCAACCTCGCGCTCGCTGGATCTCTCGCCGGTTCTCTCTCTCACCCGCGTCTCTTGGCTGTCCCTTGCCGTTCCTCTCACTCGCTCGTCGACTCGCTTCTACATCCTCTCTGTCCGCGACAAATGACTCTGGAAGGCTAGCAAATGGCCTGCCACACCTAGTTGTATGGGGCGGGAGCCCAGAAACGATATCCACAACGACTGCACTCGTCGAGAACGCGACCAGACGTACACGAGGATCGCTGACCGATGCTACTAGTCAGCCATGCACGGCGACATAGCCTCAGAATTGCCGCTGCCTCTTTGCGCTTCATGGTCACCTGGATTATGTCCGCACTGTGCATCGTGAGTTTCCGCTTTGCTGTAGTCGCTGCTTCACTTCATCTTCTAGATCTTAGCTTCGGATGATTAAATGGCTAAACGATCCGCATCTGGAATAGCACGTCGCGCAACTGTGTTTTCATCCAAAGGAGGATCGGTCGTCTCCGCGTCGCAAGACCAAACTGTGCGTGTCTGCGACATCTCAGGTCTAAGGAAGAGCACCCCGAACTCGGCACCAGGCGGCACTTTCGATACTTTCGACACCTTCTCGACCGTCAAGTACGTACTTGAAGGCCATGACTGCGGTGTCAACTACGCGACGTTCCACCCTACCCTCCCTCTCATCGTTTCTGCTGCGGACGACCGGCAAATCAAGATCTGGCGTATGAGCGACACGAAGGCCTGGGAGGTCGACGCATGCAGGGGACACTTCAACAATGTGTCGACAGCGCTGTTCCATCCCAAGCATGAGCTCATCGTGTCATGCGGCGAAGACAAGACCGTACGGGTGTGGGACCTGACGAAACGATCTGCCGTGCAGACATTCCGACGGGAGAATGATCGCTTCTGGACCCTTGCTGCCCATCCCGAGTTGAACCTCTTCGCAGCGGGTGCGTTTCTTTTGATTCTGCGTCCGTCCTGTACTGACGTAGTCGTAGGCCACGACAACGGCTTGATCGTCTTCAAGCTTGAGCGTGAGAGACCTGCCTTCGCTGTGCATGACGACTCTGTCTTCTATGTGCGGGATAAGTATGTACGCTCGTACGACATCAACACCGGCTCGGATCTCGGTCTGCTCAGCGTCCGCAAGTTCGGGAGCCCGTACGTCCCCCGCGAACGCTGAGCTATAATCCTGCGGAGCGTGCCGTCGTGTTGACGATTTCGTCGGACAATGGCTTGTTCGAGCTCACGGCCCTGCCGAAGGATGCTGTCGGGGAAGTGAAGGACTCGTCTACAGACGGCAAGCGTGGAAGCGGTCATGCCGCCATCTTCGTCGCCAGGAACAGATTCGCGGTCTTGAACAAGACCACCCAGGTTTGTCTCGCCTTGACCCAGCTTCAGTATATGGTAATTCATCGATGTGTTCTCTAGTTGATTGAAGTGCGCGACCTGCAAAACTCAATTGTCAAGTCTATCAAGCCACCGGTCCAGACGAACGAGATCTTCTATGGTGGAACCGCGAGCCTCATTCTCAGCTCGGCGACGTCAGTGCTACTTTACGATATCCAACAGCAGAAGAAGCTCGCGGAGAACACTACTCCGCCGGTCAAGTACGTTGTCTGGAGCCCGGACGGTACATTGGTTGCCCTCCTCAGCAAGCACAGTACGCATATGGTATATCTCGCTCTGATGTCTCGTTGATGAGCATTTCACAGCGATCACCATCGCGAACAAGAACTTCTCGCAGCACACCCTCATTCACGAAACGATTCGGATCAAGTCTGGTGCTTGGGACGACTCCGGCGTCTTCATCTACTCGACGTTGAACCACATCAAGTACTGTCTTGCACAGGGGTGCGTACGGCTGCGTTATGTCACGACGGCCGCCCTCATTTGACCATACTGCAGGGATCACGGCGTCATCTGCACGCTCGACAATCCTGTATACTTAACGCGTGTCAAGGGAAAGACCGTCCACTGCCTTGATCGATCTGCACGCCCCAGGACCATCACCATCGACCCGACTGAATACCGATTCAAACTGGCTCTGTTGCGCAACAATCATGAGGAGATGCTGCACGTCATCCGCACGTCCAACCTACTGGGTCAGAGTATCATCGCGTACCTGCAGCAGAAGGGTTTCCCGGAGGTATGCACACATTGTTACTATAGCGCATCAATGATCTGACCACAACTTGTAGATTGCATTGCATTTTGTCCAAGACAAGAACACGCGATTCGATCTTGCGATTGAATGCGGGAACATTGAAGTCGCGTCGGAAATGGCCCGCGCACTCGATCGACCTGAGTGCTGGGAGCGACTGGCGCAGCAAGCTCTGAAACAGGGCAACCACAAGGTATCTGATTTCCGTTCCATTGTATGATGCATGGGTTCTGACATACGCCTTGTAGATCGTCGAGAAGGCCTTCCAGCAGACGAAGAATTTCGACCGCCTGTCCTTCTTATACCTCGCTACGGGAAGTGCCGACAAACTGCTCAAGATGCAGAAGATCGCTGATTCGAGGGGTGATCCCAAGTCTCGATTGCACAACGCGCTGTATTCGGGCGACATTTTGGGACGCATCGCTGTGCTGCGAGACGTCGGCCTTCGTGCGTCCTCCTGTCAGACTTTTGACCACACGGCTAACGTCTTGACAGATCCTCTTGCTTATCTCACGGCGAAGACAAACGGGCTCGACGACATTGCTCTGCAGATCCTCGAGGCTGCTGGCCTCACCGAAGCGGATGTCGATGACATCCCGGCGTTCGGTCCCTCTACGTTGCGACCCCCGCCAGTGGTCACTCCGATTGAAAACCTGACCTGGCCCTCGGTCTTGATCGGTGACAGCTTCTGGGACCGTGCACTCGCTAACGGGCATCTGGAAGACGGTGCGCCGGCACCATACATGAACGGTCACGACACGACAGGTGCTACCGCGTCTTCGGCTCTTGATGAATGGGCCAAGGAAGAGGAGGAAGAGGAGGAGGCCGAAGTGGAGGAAGATGCGTGGGACCTCGCCCCCGATGCTGACGAGCTTGAGCCAGAAGAAGAGGAGGAGGAGGAACTCCCAGAGGATGAGGTTGAGCTGGGAGCAGGCGCCGCACCTGGTATCAGCGAGACGGAACTTTGGATGCGCAACTCACCGTTCGCTGGTGATCACATTGCGGCCGGTTCGTTTGACACGGCTATGCAGGTGGGTGCCACTAGTGGATCCGTGCGTTCACAGCGCTGACAATATTTCTGACAGTTGCTGAGCAGACAGTTCGGTGTGGTCAACTTCGTGCACCTCAAGCCGCTCTTCCTCTCCACATATCGCTCGGCACACGTCTACCTCTCCCCTCTCGCGTCATTGCCGCCCTTGCAGTTGCATTTGAGGCGCAACCCGCAAGAATCGTCTTCTAGCAGAGTGCTGCCTGTCGCTGTCAAAACGCTCGCCGCGTTACGCGCAGAAATTACCGAGGGGTGCCGACTACTTTCTGGTGCAAAACTGCCGGAAGCGCAGGACGCTTTCCGCTCTGTACTACGCGAGCTTCTGCTCATACCTATCGCCTCCGACGGGGACGCCAACCTCGTACGTGATATGACTGCAGCTCGGTATACATTGATGCTCATGATTTGTTAGTGGCGGGACATGGTCACCGTGTCCAAGGAGTACATCCTGAGTGTGAGCTTAGAAGTTGAGCGCAGACGTGTCACTAAGGACGAGCTAGACAATGCTCGGCTCAGCCTGGAGCTTGCGGCGTACTTCACGCACTGTAAGCTTGCAACACCACATTTGCAGATCGTGCTGCGCAATGCCATTGGACATTGGCGTCTTCGCGAAAGCGAACATCCATGTAATCGCAGCAAGATTCGCCCACCGCCCGACGACTGTTGGAGCTCAATTTTGATCCCGAAATTGTAGCGCAGGTGTGTATAACTTTCTTCTCCATTTGGTCTGTCTTGACGTTATTGTCTGCAAGGCTCGCCAATGACTTGCGGCTATTAAACCGCGTGACGCCGTGGAGATATCCCGCCAACACCAGCGAGCTAGAGTACCCGGGTAGTAGGGTACGTGTACCACTGCCAGTGTAAACCACTCGGGTCGCCGGACTCCAGTCACTACCACTAGTATGTCATTGTAGAATACGAGTTACCTACTAGTTACTGCATTTTGGGGTACGGTAGTGAAGGTTCTACAGTGTGTTAGTAATTCACTTACATCATAAGTCTTTAAGTCTTTCGGATACTACTAGTCTGGTCTGATGGATATGTCATGAGGCTGCTTTATTGTCTTCAGATGCGTGTGATGCAATTCCATTTTTCTTGAACACTGCTTCAGTAGTCCTCAGAATGCTATATGTCACTCAATCCATCTTTTCGTTCGATTATGTGAGTAAATGATACCAAAAGTACATTTGAATTGGATGAAGCTTGAATAAGGGAAATAGGTTTTTCCTGATGCAGTACGACCGTCTCGACCCCCCTCGTACGATGCAACTCTGCCCGCAGGGCGCGGCTTTCGACTCTAGGGCGTCGCTGCTGTTCGCGAACCTCGATAGGCATGTCCAGGCGATGCACTGGCGCTTCCACGGCGACAAATTTATGTGGTGCGACATGTGCGGCAAATACATACGGTCAGATCGATGCGTACGGAGACGCAACCATTTTCGGGAGTGTCTCGACGAGTTCATGAAGGAACGTCCCGAGCATTTTGGGTGATAGGCTTGTCCCTTGTCTGAATTTCTGTACCATTGTTCCTGTTGTGCTTGTCCGATTCCAGTGCTCGGTGCGACCATGCCCGTCTGCGTCGATTAATTGTGTACTGGCTCTGCCTTGAACGTTCTCGCACCGCATCCTGTTATGTATTCTCGCTACCTTATTGGTATTTATCTGTAGGGTTAGATGTGCTTTCTCTGATGTCTACATCACGGTCTCCGTGTTCTCGGAAAGTACGGTAGTATTATCGACTACGGATCGTTGTGGTAGACATGTACTCATATGACCCCATTTCAGCGTGATCAGTATGCTTGTGGGTCGCCATGGGAGGGTCTTAAGCCATCAGAGCAAGGTGTCTCCGTACGCCCATGCCCCCGTCCCTGGCGACCGATCCGAAGGTTGGACGAGGGAAGAGAAAACTCCCCATGTCTGTCGGTTAGATGCCCAAACCGTATTGTCATCTCCCAGGTGCTTGATACAGGTGCGAATGCACCGGCCAGACGACCTCCGAGATGACAGTGCGTTGCACCATCTGTACACGACGCGTCTAAGTTCACTCCTGCTCTTCGACCATATGTGGCAAGGGAGGTCGAGGTTCACTAGCTCTGTGGTGGATCACCTCAGTCTAGGGTCGACGGGCCTCCCGATGTCTACCGAGGGCTTTGCAAGACTTGATGACAAGGGCGTTTCTCCCGGTGTACTATATCTGGGACTTGTTTCAATGTCGTCTATGAACTCATAATCATGATGGACACGTACGTGCAGTGTTACAGGCAACTATGCCAGCGGGCTCAGGACTTCGCCTGTTGCAGTATCTTTCACGCCGTAAGTTGCAGAGTTGTTGAGTGTATCCAACACTCAATTCCCGTTCGCTCTACAGGTTGACGGAGGTACGACGGTCGATCCAGATGTCGCCTAGGTCTGAGGTGCCGCCAGTCGCGCCGCTGTGTCGAGACGGCGTGCGCTCACCGCCGCTGCTGCTTTTGCCTCTGCTGTCGCCTTGCCCTGTCGTCGTCGATGACTCGTAGGCATTCCAGTCGAAGTACGAGTCTGCCTCTCTGCACATGCAGAAGCATCAGTGAACCGATAACTTGAAGTGATGAGGGGCAGAGATCCTCACTCTTCCTCTACTGACAAGTCGTCGGCGAGCGTAGGCGTCTCGCCGCACACGCTGTTTGCCTTGGAATCTGGAAGGTCGTTGGAGGATATGGCGACACTGGCAGTCGGGCTGTCAGCAGCGTCGAGCGACATTGGGACGATGTGTCACGACTTACTGTCCCTCGTGAGATTCGGAATCATCGCCAACAAACAGGAGGGAGGGGTCGTAAATGTAGAAAGACATCTGTTCGCAGTGGGTAGTATGCAGATGATCAATGAGGGTGGCTGTCGAGGGGAATTGTGAGACTAGGTGACCGACTATCAACGCCGTTGCTGGGGATGTCGACACCGTCGGCGGCACGTTCGAATTGTCGCTTCTGCCTCCGTAGCAACTTCGGGGGATATGTGTTCTCCCCAACGCTTGCCCTTGTCTGCGAATGATTGTCGTCTGTTTCGAGGGCCATCGATCCACAGAGGGGCAAGGGAAAAAGGCACTGCGTCAGCCAACGAGTTCAAGCAAAGGAAGGCACTTACACACCCTTTTGACTCGGACTATCCAATACAAGGGATATTCGTCCGCAATCAACTCAAACGGCGCGTTCGCTGTCCGACAGTCAAAGTCGGGCTCGACAAGGGGCATGCTAGCATGCAATCAGTGACTAGGTTATGAGTACTGGTTCGTACTGTACCGAGTACCTAAAGAAAATATCGTCTTCGCTGAGTGTGTGACTCATGAACTCAAGGTGCTCACAGCAATTCGTGGAGTGCAGGATGGGGCCCCGACGGTGAGGTCTGACAATGCTGGCGACGCAGCCACTATTCAGATCACCTAGGCTTAGTGTGAATACCGATACGTACGTACAATAAGGCAAGATAATAGGCGTACGTTTGAGTAGAGAACTCTTGTCTTTCCTGTTGACTTCGTGTGCGAGATGAAGTGGCGAGAGATTCAAGAGTGGCTGCAGTACGGAGTGCGGTGATGCTATGTCAGTTGCGCCAGAATACGGGTATAGAGGTCATACGCACCACGAGCGCCTTGAGCGTTCTTCACGTCCCGGTTTCCACCACGAGACAGCCTGATGCGCGGGAGAAGCGGCTGGTGGATGTACGAAAGCCATCGTCGTGGAAGTGGACACCCTCTATCCGTAAAGGAGCGGATTCGAACGTCGATTGTCCTCTTCGTCTTCGCGTAATTGCCAACCTACGGGACTGAAGCCTTATTATCATCAATACTGAAGTCATACGTCACATGAACTCTCGCACCTCTTCATGCTTTCGGTCCCCGATGTGCCGAGGAAGAATCAACCGGGCTGCCTGGAGAACGCCTTCGCTGGCTCCTGCGGCCTTCGCGCGAGTGAAAACAGACCGGTAGGGGTGACAAAGGATAGGGGTAACACGCCCGAGTCTGCTGAGAGGCGTAGATGGGTCGCCCGTAACCGGATTTACTCAGTGTCGCGCCCACAGTGTCGAATGGCTACTGTACAACAGTAAAAATATGGGTCGATTAGATGGGAGGATACCATACGAAAACCGATCTGCGCTCTACTACATGCGTCGGGGAAGACGGCGACGAGCGTGCATGGGTGATGCTGCTCGTGCCGACGATCGCCTGGCGAGGTCCTGCTTCAGCGCAGAATATAGGCGTCAGCATGAATGGACTCATGTATCTGGCGAGGAGCTCACCTACCATGAAAGGATGATGCATGAGAGTATGGGACAGGTGTCTGGTCCCAGTGGCGTCGGTTAGGAGGAATGGTAGCAAGATCGTACACGCAGATAATCGAGCAACGCATGCGGACGTTGACAGAGGTGCCAGAGTGTTGCATAGGAAACAAGGGAGCGTGCTCGTCATGGCGTATTTATGCTGGACGGAGCGAAGGCGGACGCGCAGGAGCATGGTGGACAATGCATATTAGATGGGGCGGAGAACACGCCACCCAGGACGATGCAAGGTCTGTGGCATACCAACATTGTCTTCCAGGGGCAGCACTGTGCGCAGCTCGTGTATTGTTCGGAGCTGGGTGACGCCGTCAGAGATAGCAGGTGTGTACTGGCAGCTCATGACCAGGACGAGCCTGCGCGCGCGAGCAGTTGGTAAGGCCTTCCGTATAGAAAGAAATATGGCTCACCCGGAAAGTCGTGGCCACAAGACGGGTCCATGAGGCTATCGTTGCATTCGAGCTGCATACGGACAGTGCTCTGGCAGGCGAACGGAACCAGGGAGGACGAGCGGCTGGAGATCGCAGCGACGCAGATGCTTGGAACCGAAGGTTCTCGGTCGGTCCTTATTGCTACACGCAAATGAGACAACGCTTCCGAGAAGCATCGTCGTGACGTACCTTCCACACGTTCGATATCGCGCACCGCCGGGGAGGCACGGTTAGCGACTGTGGTACGCAGAGCGGCCCGCCGAGGTCCCTGTAGCCCATCTGAAGCGCGTAGGTTTTTTTGACAGACTTTTCGATATTCCATCATGAGGCCTCAGGCTCGCATTGAAGCGGAGTGGACTGACTTGTAAGAGTATGCAACAAACCCATAATGGATGCCCGCGAGCGTGGTCGAGACTCGAGACAGTGGCCGCCACTGCGAGCGCTTCAACTGTCTGCGTGAGAACGATTCGACGCGTTGGTGGCTGGGACTCGGAGACGCTTTTGGAAGTCGTCGAACCTCGACCATCCATCGAGCCTTGCAGGACATCACCTGCGATTCGCTACTGCTCTGTATCACTCATGAACTGAATACATCGGAGCTCGTTTCAGGGGAGCGACATCTCGCTATCCAAGAGCCGTTACACGCAACGTGCACTCGCCAACGAAGACCTGCCTGCAATCCAGATCATTCTCCGCGCTCGGTCGCTCAGCCCCGTAGCAATATGTACGGTCCTATCAGAGTACCCAATGCCTCTGCTTCGACGTCAGAGACAATGGAGGCTCCTCGGCGCGCGACCCAGTAGTAAGTGCCAACACGAACCTGTCTAGACGTGCCAGAACTGATCTTATGCCCATCCATTGCCAAGTCCCCGTTTCCTCACCACTCCTGCTGCCCGGATGCGCATAGGCCTCACATGTAATACCTCGATGAGCCATGCTAATCGAAGTGCTGCATATGAAACCTATGCGCAGCCAAGAAGGTCGCAACTGCATCCTCGATACTTGCAGCAGTGAGTCGCCCGTTAGATCTGTTTGCGATCGCGGCATAGGTTGACGCACCCAGGGTACTGAATATGTTCGCGGGATGCCGTGGCTCTACCAATTCCGCCCCAGCCGCAAGGATGGCTTCGGCCTTGCAGCGGACATCGTGCCACGTCACAGGCAGCCTACCCGTGCCCCGCCTCCACAGCGATTCAAACTGATGCTCGAGCAGGGCAATTTGTACGACCGTACTCATCTTAGTGCAGTGCACCAATGCCCAGTGGCAGATCGGATGACCCACCCGTCGTGTATATGACGCGCTACACCTAATCAGAATGCCTGCGCGTGTGCAGCAATCCGAGTCTACGTCGCGTCACGCGTAGTCATGTCCTCGAACGTATGGGGCGAGATTACGCACAGAGTACGTCCTGAAACCATTTGCGTCTCTGTGTTGCGACTGGCTAATAGTTGCGATGTCTAGGATCCTGTCTTCCGTCCTCTCCCCACGTGCGTCTCGCCTCCGCGACATCCACACCTTCGTACTGGTCACAGTAACACCCCACGCATCACCATCCCCATGCTGTTGCGCCGTGTTCCATCTTATTTATGTATCCACAACGCAGGTTCGGGATCGTGGCGACCTTCGTATCCTCCAGGCCCGCCCTCTTCTCCCCCGTGTCCGCGCTTCTATTCCCTGTGACCGCGCTGTTATGCAATTCTTTTCGAAACGTCGACACGGACAATAGTCATCGAGCTCCTGATCGGGTGATGTCCCTCATGCCCTACTGCGCTCAACAACACCCCGTTTCGCGGTAAAGCCGGGCTTACACTCCAGATCTAGACAGTATGCTCTAGGACCACTCACAAACGCCCATGCGCGTCCATGTCGGCCTCAGCCGACCCGAGGGAGGAGACTCTGGATGGCCGGTACCTCTGCAAACGTTACGGAGTCTTCCCTCAACTCAGATCACCTGGCCGCCACATCGATGTGGCGGCGCTCAGCCATCGATGTTCCAATCTCCCGGATGTATTCTCTCGATGACGTCCGGATGAGTGGTGGAACGTCTTCTGGGCAAGCTGACCGCAAGTCACCCGCTACGGAAACCCTTCGCTTCTGGCGCTGATGGCGATGTAGATGCGGTCGAAGCAGTCCTACTGGTCCTGGACTGCAGTACCATCCCCTTGTGCCCTCGCTGCGGGAAGGAATCGCGGAAGAACTTGCTGTCGCCAGACCCAGGAGATCAGCTTCATCCAGACGACGACGAGGCAGGGCTGACGTTACGCTGCCCGAGAGAGGGACGAGGAAGATCCACTCTCGGAGATAGGGTCTCCAGGTGTGGGTGGCGTGATTCAGACCTACGCTGGTGAACAACTGATCGTACGGCTGAGACTCGAAGCTAGCCCGTGCGGTGCGGCCTGACGGCGAAGACAGCCACGCGGGTCCATGCAACGTCCTGGTCTAACGGCGTGTCGTTCTCTCGCAGCGCGCGAGCTATGTGCAGTCGCACTTGACGCGAGACGCTGTGAGACGACGGCGTGCTGTTTGTGCTAGGGGCAACACTGGGCGGACTGCTTACGTAGCACGGCGTGCCAGGCTGCCCTGTCCTCACTTCGCTGCTGTATGGTCACCAGTCGATACGTTTCCGACGATGTTCTAAGGTGTTTTCGACTTACGCTTGAGATATGGTACGTACTCAGCAGAACCCGCTTTTAAGAAAGTGCTCAGGAGATGGCAGATCGTATGTTCGACAACACGACGATCGGTCGGTGGTGCGATTCCGCATCCGTCACAATGCACCTGCTGTCGTTGGACGTGTCCGTCGTACGCGAGATCTCACAGGTAAGGGCGAACAGGCGGGCCGACCATGTATAAGAGCGAAGGCTGATGGTGTCTTTCGGCTTCGGTAAACGAGGCAGGCTCTGTGGATCTAGGAATTCGGACGTAGTATTGCACATGCGCGACATGTATCATGAGGCCACGTCCTAATCGACGGAGCCTGCAGGCCTCCTGACATGCCGTCCTGCGGGGACGTCGTCACCCACTGCTGCAAGCGCGTGTCGCCAATGCTGCGCCAATGTCTGCTGGTGCCCATCGGGACCTGGGTGACGTAGTTGCCGTGTTGCACGAAGAGCGTGCGCGGCCCTTGCACCTGGAAGCGTCGAGCGAGGCTGGAGCACATGGCGTGACGGCGATCCTGCAGTGAACGCGTCAGTCCCGAGCCAAAACACCTGCAGGCGAGAAGGCGTGCATGCCCGTCTATGGATCCACACTGTCAGCGTCGATGTGGACGCAACGTGAGCCGCGGAAGCAACCACCAGTCGATGGATGCAAACCACGCAGATCCTTCGTGATTGGCTGGATTCGTGGACGTTGCGAGATCGTCGCTGCTCCGAGACCGCTGTGACGAGGAACGCGGAGGCAGCTGGGACGCGTCGTAGCCTACCGTGGGGCCTGTCAACTCAGATAGGCAGAGAATGTTCCTGGAAGGCCCACGCACCTCCGATTCTACGGCGAACTCAGGCGTCGCATCGATGGAGCCTCGGGATGACTGAAATGCTGCATGTGGCATATAATTAGGCTCTGTGTCTCCCTTTGCAATGAGAATCTGACACCCACCTATTCAACTCTTCCTGACGGGACTGGAGGTTCGCCAGCGCTGTGGATGGTTTCTCGTCAAGTTCTCGTGTGGCTGAAGGTGCCATTGCGCGTCCCCAGCCGGACATGGCTAAACAAGGAAAGCGTACCCGTCGGATCTCCGATGCGCCCATTCAATATTCCCAAAGAGGCAGGTCGCACCATCCGGGCGCTTCGCCGGCTTCCGGTCTCTGACCGAGTGGCGAGGTTCCGCCACAGCAACGAGTGGCACTCCTGGAGAGTGGATGGGCAGTGACGTATATGGTAGATACGACGTTTTCATGCCTGCGATCGCCGAGGCAGCACAGTTGTGAGCGCAGAGGAGCAGCAATCAAAGTGAAATACAACACCAATTGATTTACGTGAGGGGTTCCCTTCGATCCATCTCCGATGCAAACGCTTGCCGCGTCCAAGCCACGTCCCCCACACGACCGTCTCCACGTGCCTCGGACGACCACACAATAATAAGCAACCCGGCCCACAGGGGTCCCTCGTCTGCGTCCGCGCATCTCACCTTGTTGTCCTAGTCTGCATCCGGGAGGCTATATCAGCCTGTGAACAGCGGGCGTAAACTCCCCTCCCCCTCCTCCCTGCTCGCGCACATACGTCTCGCTTGCACGCTCGCACTCTCGCACGACGCCGGCACGCTGTCCTGGGACGTAGGCCCCAGTGATAGCGAGAACAGGGCATCGCATTGCTGTGTGCCAGGGCTGCCCCCAGAGTGAGCCCAATCGGTCCTTGGGGCATCTCGTCACGCACCAGCAAATCGGTGGCCGCATCGCCTGAGGGAGACCTAGATGGCCTTCTCGTTGCCTAAGCAGACCCCTGTGTGTGTATCAGTCTGTGTCTCTGTCACAGCCGTACGCTGCCGACGAGATATTCACCTGTCTGGGAGGACAGCCATCGTCAGCGGTACGTACGTCATTCGATCTAGGATCGCTGCAGCTCACCTCCCTCGAACGACCTCTCTGCACTCCGCACCGTGATCTGCGAAGGCCCTGTGTGCGCACACTATTAGCATACACCTCAGCGAGGTCCAACCTGCGTCTCCGCTGTATTCGTGCTTCCGACACGCCGCTGCCGACACACTGGCCTGTCTGGGAGGACCTTCATCATCAGCGGCACGCACGTCCGTCACCCCGGATCGCTACAGCTCACCTTCAGGGATCTGCGGACGCCCCTGTGTGCGTACACTGTTGAGCGTACAACCCTGAGAGGTCCAATCTGCGTCTACGCGGAGTGGTGCGTTGGCGGTATCCTGATCTGTCAGGAAAGACAAGCGTAAGCGGTACGTATATGGTTCGATCCCAGACTGCGCATCTCACCTTCTTTTGAACCGTATACGCAGAGTCATGCAGCCTCTCGCCGATCTACTCTGCTCCGTATGTCATCGTTGGGTGATTCTTGTCAAGACGTCAGTCGAGGTTGACGTGAAACGCTGAACGATGCGTACCTTCACCAAACACGGATGCCATCGCAAACGATACCGGACGTATTGAGAGCAGGCTCGTTCCGCAGAACGCACCCTGCTCGGTCAGGGGCGTGGAAGAACAGCGCTCATCTAGGTTGTACTCGGCGTTCGTCGGCGGTAAGTGTTTCCTAACAACAGGTGAGTAAAGCTCAATATGAACCCGGTGAACGATAGCTTACACCCAGTAGACGACATTGAAAGGTAGTCTTGACTTGCTCCTGCCACGATGGTCATCAGACCCAAGTTTGTCGCCCCCGGGACACTTCCCTGGCACCTGCATACTCGGCTGTGGACTTGGTTCCGTGCGCTGACCTGACGCAGCGATCAGCGGCTCGCGCTCGTCCGGTGCGAACGAGGAGAATTCATCTGCTTGGAGACGGTCCGCATGGCTGCCACAGTTGCAAGTACATACCAGGTATCCAGCCTGCGTCGCTATTGATCTTGACGTGCAGTCTTCTTGGGTTGAGATGCATAGTTCGCAGGTTACGGTATTCGAGACGGACCTCTCCCTTTACGTTATAACGCATTCGGATCTCTCGCCGCGCGGACACGTCCTAGGTTCCCGTTTGTTCCATACGGTCGCTGGGGATGCTAGTTGAGTGATGTGATCCTTGACGAGTTGAGTCGCATTACTTACGGTTGCGTTCGTTTGAGGTCGCGTATCTGCTTGTATGGTCACGTACGTTGTTATGAAACTGAAAGACTCACACCTCGTCGTGAACCGTCCGCGTGGAACAGACGCAGCGCATCCCGTGAGCAAGTGATCGCTGCGAGGCGCTGTGATGCGAAGTTAGTAGAGTCAGAGACCCGGTCTCCACTCGCCGTGTGGATAGTATCCGATATCTTCCAGGTAGGTTGGAGTCGCTCGCTTGCTGACGAACTGGCCTGTTTATAGCCGGTAAGTCAGTATCGTAGCACAGTAGGATTGTCGACGCACCCATATCACAGCGTCTTGTGAGTCACGGCAGGTCGGTCGCTCCGCCAGACGCATGCATAAGGTCGAACAGGGCGAAAGTCTTTTCAGGTAGGGATGTCGCGTATTGCGGAGGTAGGTCGAAGTTGAAGAACAGGCGAGGCGGCGTGAGCGCTGGGCCACATAGAGATCAGGTAGTATATTCTTTCAATGGCGGGCTGATTTGCTGCGCTTCCGATTAGACCCCGTTGTCAACGGCCCATGGGTAGAGTGGCATTGTTAGAGAACGGGGGGGACGGGAGATGAAGGTGAGTGGCGAGCATTCGGGGTTGTGGCGAGGTCAGAGCCGGGACAGATTGGTCCGAAGCCTTCCTTGCCGCGCCACTTATGCACAGAGTACCCTAGCTGACGCGTATCGAGCTCAGGTGAACGGGAAACGCGTCTGGCACGGGAAGGCGAGTCTAGAGGGACGCCACCCGCGTGAGGATGAAGACAACGCGTCTTTGAGGCGGCAGTCTGCGGGTATCGAGTAGGCTCGCGCGAATCTCTAGGGCCCAGCTGCGGCTTCAGTCGGCTCTCCTCGTGCTGGGTCAGGCCGGAGTGCGATACTGGCCCGACGGCATAGTGGCGGTGACTCAGTCGTCGGGCGCGATGCGAGGTCCATGCAGTTGCCAAATTGGGACGCCCTTGTTCTCAGTCCGGATACTGGTGCGTCGTATCCATGGCGAATCCTGCGTGCATTATCCCGTGAGCCAATCAGGGCAGGGACAGTGCACAGGGAAACACGCCGACTTGTCTGCTCGGGCTGGCTTGCGCGGGGAAAGCAGCGGGCGTGACAGAGGTCGGCTAGCGAGGCGCGGACGGGGACTGGGAGCGTGACCACGCTGGACCTCGCGCTGCATCCTGCGATTCCAGTGTTTGGCTTCCCTCGCGTGTTTGTTTGCACACAAAATCGAACGTCCGCTCCGCTGTCGCTCTCCCTCTGACTACTACCACCCCGTGTCCCTCTCACATCCCTCGCGCCCTTCTATACTTTCCTGTCTTCTGCTTCCGTACGACAGCAGCCCTTATCAATCCTCCCGATACCAAATAATCCGTACAACGAATGTCTTTCTACATCTACGACCCCTCCTTCTCTTTGTCGACCACGATTCCGATCTGACGAGGACAGTAAGTCTGACACATCGTCCAATGTCGTTCGACGCTGCTCACAGCCCGACTGCCAGTTCACCTCCAACGACCTGCCAGATTCCAGGCGAACAGCGTATACGGCGAGACCTACTTCTCCGCCGACCTGTCAGCAGAGGAAAAGTGAGAATCTCTGCCCCTCATCACTTCAAGTTTCGGTTCACTGATGCTTCTGCGTGTGCAGTGAGGCAGACTCATATTTCGACTGGAATGCGTACGAGTCGACGACGACGACGGGGCAAACCGAAACAACAACACAACAGCAGCAGCAGCAGCGGCAGCAGCAGCAGTAGCGCGAGCGCACGCCGTCTCGACGCAGCGACGCGACGGGCGGCACCTCAGACCCGGCGACATCTTGTCTACTTCCGCGTCACCGGCCCTTGCGGCCAAGACGCCGCGTCCTCACCACAATCTCCGAAGGTTGCGCAGCGACCACGGCGGTGCTTCCTCTCGAATACATCCCCACAACTCACTACCAGAGCACAATGACGAGCCGGTCAACGAGGCGTCTGAGGCAGGAGCGGGCCAAAAACGGAGGCGAGAAGACGATGATGGAGGCGCAGACCATGTCAAACGCGTGTACCGAGAGCCCCAGGTAGAGGTTGCCGTGCAGGCGGAGATACCTGGCACGACCCACCCGGCGCCCTGCGCTGACGTCCTCCCACCGCAACCTGTTCCAAACGCGGGACCTTCGCAGGAATCTGCACCTCCGTCAGGGCAACCTCCGGAGATGTCGTGCACGCTTCCTCAAGGAGGGTCGGACCGGACGTCTGCGGGTTCGGTGGATCCGCCGAGGACGTCTGGGTCCACGTCAAAGTGGTGCATGGCATGAGCAAATATGCCACGCCCGAGCCGGAGCGCACAAAGACGACGTGCAGCTGGCTCGGATGCCAGTTCGAAGGGTTGCCAGCGGAGCTGTACGCTCACTGGAAGGGTGGCGGCGACCACAAGCGGGCGCTCTACAGGGAGGCGGGTGACCTGGGTGGGGCGTATCGGTCGAGTGCCAGCTCTGCCCACCGAACAAGCGCAAGTATATGAGACTGGATAGTCTCGTGCGTCATGTGGGCGACGTGCATTGGCGTACAGGGCCTGCCATGCGGTGGTGCGATGCATGCGGCACTCCCAAACGGAGGGATACATTTGGTGCAAGCCGCTGCCATTTGCGCGAGTGTGTCACTGGTTTCATGACCACCTACAAACGTCTGTGTAATGCTTGAGCTCGCGCACCTGTTCCCATCCCATCTCCTCTTACTATCTAGGATCTTTCCTCGCGGCTCTTAGGATGCGTTATGTACCAATGTCTTTGATATTGTACAATGGACTCTAGACTTTTGCTATCTTTATTCTGTTCATCTTCTCCGTCCTGTGTTCTCCTCCATCCTGCGTTCTGTATTGCTCTTACACATAGTATTGCTATCCCCACGAAATACTGCTGGCATTCATTCTACGTCTAATACAAAGACAACATCTCTGAGCTTACATCACTCCGAGTCCCTACTCCTCGATGAAAACGAGAGACTGAAACGGTACCGGGATAAGTGAAGGGAGTTTCGCCTATACACAGCGAAGTTCCGAGAACGACCGAAGTCGCTGGAAGGGCCCGATGTCAGCGAAGCCCACGATACGATGTCGACAGCATGGCTTCTGGATACGTTCGGTAGCTTGTCAGCTCCGAACGCTAGAGGTGTCATGGTCAGACACGTAGACATCGTTGACGGAAGACGTACCGTGCACGATCGTCTTGACGAAGGATTGCATGGATGTGTAGGGACGAGGCCACGTCAATCGCAATGGACTCGAACCAAAGGTCCAGACTCTGCTCCAAAGCCTTACGAATGCGTAGATTTAGACATGTAACACACGACGTTGAACGAGGATGAAACGTACACGACCCAAGATACCTTCGCTCCTAGGGCAGTGAACTTGATACCGTACGTCGTTCGGATATGCGAAGAATGCATCCGCGACGATATCATGGCCCCCTGGACGACTCCGGCAGCTTCGCAACGACTTGCATAATCTTCCGCGCTGAGCCAGCCCTCCGCTCCATGATGGTGCCCCTCGCGCAACACGAGTCGTCCAACTCCGCAGTAGAACGAGACGCTCGCCTGTGTCCACTTTTGAGTCCGTCGTGAGTAGTATCGGGGAAGAGGATGACCTGTCGTCATCATGGAGAGCATATTGTGATCGAAACTGATGAAAAGATGCGATAGCACTCATGCGAGAAAGAATACTACCAAGACAGACCAAATACTGCGAACTCACAACCATTTAGCAACCAGCTGCGACTGCAAGGTTCCATTCTCAAGGAAGGGCCCAACTCCATGATACCAACGTTGTCACGGTATTCGCTCTCGACAGCAAGCTCAAGTGACGTGGTATCTTCGCCAAGGCCTCCTTCCAGCACGCCCGCATGCACGCCTCGGAGCTTACGTAGCGCTGGAAGGTCCAGCTGCATTCAATGACGTCGGTCGCCACTCGAGAGTACCATTGTACATTGTTCGCCGAAAGGGTGTCGCCGTCTTGAGCCGACCTCCGGTCTATATAAACCCATGATTCACCCGGCTGTCAGCCAACACCCCGTCTTCGTACCACAACTATGATCGACGTACTCGCCATGGCCACTACCCCGGGATCATTCCTCCTAACCGTCCATGCCGCAGCCATGAGTGGCGCTGTGAAGCTGCCACCGTACAGGAGCACGCACCTGGTTCATCACGGTACGCCACTGCTCCGCCCTCCCTCTAGGTCCCAAGTCCTCATCGCGTCTTGCTCGTTACAACACGTCCCCGCCTTCCGCTTCCGCATCCCGGTAGCCTTGTCAATCCTCGTCGTACCACCCGATCGCTGCACACAATGCCCTCTATATCCACGACTTCCTCCCCCAGTTTACGATGACGTTCAACCTCGCGCTAGCTCGTAAGTCCTGATACCGTCTCACCTCGCTCGACACCACTGACAGACCGACTTCCAGTCCTCCACATCGACGAGCGACCTCTCAAGATATCTGGTCACTGGCCAGAGCCTGCTCTCGCCTACGACGCTTCGATCAATGAATAATGTGAGGATCCCAGCCCTTTCCGCAGCATCTCTGTTTACTCACCCTTTGTTGCGTGCAGGGAAGCGCATCCGTACGTCGACTTCCTCGCCGATCGCCCGTGCGCGACAGCCAATCGGCTCGAACAAGCAGAGGCAGAGGGCCCCGCCCTTCCCTCTGAATGGGAGTTCGAGCCTGAGCTCCCTGTCCTGCCATGCATGCCCATTCCGCGGTAGACACTTACGCACAGCCGCCGCCGCCCTCCAGCAATACGGTCGGCATCGACTCCGAGTCTACTCCAGCCGCCGAATCTCCTGCGGGCGACGAGCCCGCGCCCGACGATGAGGGCCGTCACCCGACCAAGGGGGCGAAGTACGAAGGGCCGGCGAAGCACAAATGTATATGGCGGTTTAAGGACGGTTCCCGGTGCACCTGGGAAGGGACTGCACAGGCGGGGTGGACCATGTGCGCAGCGCGCACAACCTCGCGCATCTCATCCGCCGGAGCCGCCCCAGGCTCCCGTGCAGTGCGGATGGGGCCCTTGCCAGTTCCGCGGGCTACCGGGGGACACATACCAGCACTGGCGGACAGCGCACCAGCCGACCATGGCGAAGACGAAGACGGCGGGCGAGGGCGGCGCGAAGCCCAAGACGCAGTGCGCGGTGTGCGCTAGGGGGAAGGCGATGCGTCCGGGCACCCTCATCAAATACTGCCTGAAGATGGCTGCGATGCTCGGGACCGGATACGTTTGATTAGGGGTGTGCGATGAAGTACAGTGTCGCTTTCAATAACCGGGGGCGGCACCGTCGCTCTACGGAAGGATGGAACGTACGTGAGCAACGGTGATCATTCACAGCGCATTCGATGACGAACCTTGTCCAGCAGTCATACCTTCGCAACATACAACCCCACCTCGACCGGCGACATACCACACATCGAAGGCGACGTCTGCGATAGCGCACGGCTCGTTCACTATCGTGGTCGTCAGCCACGGTCTGCTGCACTTCTAGACGATCAAGGCGGCGCAGCGGGTATCGATGTACGGTTGTGCAACAAAGACCCCACCCATGCCAGTGCCGACGACCTTGACCGAGCGCGCATCGCACGTCGCCGTACACGGATGCGCTACGCTCGCGTCCCTGTAGCAGCTCCGCCGCGACCGGTTCGCAAAACGAACGAGCCATTTCCTTTACGGAGTCGCGCACAAGTGTCGACGCAAGCATCGGCGGGTTCAACCGGAACGAGACAGAGTGCACCACCGTCAGCGCGAACCGAAATCCAATCGAGCATATCCACAAACTCACCACGTTCAACTGCAATATCGCATCCGTCCCATCGATCCCAGTGTTGGACCCATGGAAATGTCGAGCCGCTCACGCGGTCGGCCGACGAACACCAGTGATGCCTTCAGACACCACTTCCTCAATGCCACGGGACCGATCGCGCCTGGTAGTATTGGAAGCGTATCAGCCGTCGCACTGCATACCTCGCTCACACTGTACAAGGGCCCCCACCACGGATACACTCACCTGCGCGAACCCAATATGGCAGGAGCCTCCTCCGATGACGCGCACCTTCCTCTGGCAGTGCGTCCGTTGTGTGCAGTCGCACGCGGCGATGAGCGCTGCGAGACGTCGGTGTGCTGTCGACGATGACGCGTCAGTCGGCAAGCGCCCATGACTAAGGGTGGCTTACCGTACGGGATGTGACGGGCGCGCGCCACGTCACCGAATGAAAAGCTGTCGTGCGCCCGTGTTCTAACCAAGGCGTGTCAGGGGGAGTGAAAACGCACGAAAGAGTGGATCTGACCTGTTCCATGAATCGTCTGGAGCTGGCCCCGCGGCGCGGCGATCCAATCGTGATCAACGCGACGGGGAAGGATTTTCGCCTGGAGCTCGATTTGTGAAGGATGCATCCAGCCCGATATCGCCCGCCATGCTAGGATAGAAGTGGGATCAGTGCGAACGCTGAGTGCGATGACGGAGACACCCACAGACTTCAGCATCCCTGTGATCTGGAGAGCCTGCCGATCGGCAGGATCCATCGATCACAGGAACGATGCCTCAGCGGGACGAATGGACGACTGTCTCGCATGGGATGGATACACATGTGGGCGCGTCGATTGGGGCCCAGATCCGCCGACGCCAGTTCTGTGACGGGAGCAGAACGACACGCAGCCAGCGCGTAGTGGGCCTACAACTGGGACGTCGTGGCAATCGGGCTCGGTTCCACGCTTGCAAAGGGCACGGGGAAGGCCGGCGTGTTGCTGCAATACGACTGCGTACGATTCCAATCCTCGTCCGTCTGAATTGGCGGGGTCAATACGGAAGCAGAGCGTGAGCCGCGGAAGCAACACACCTGTCAACGCGTGTCGTGTCGTGGGCGCACGGCGCCGATCTTCTGTGATTGGCCGATCGGGTACGTCGATCGTCGCTGGTTTGGTTTTGTCACTACGCGTCCGCCGTGTCTCTATGAGTCCTGTGTCCAGCAATGTAAGCCTGGGGGTTTCGCGATGCCATGGCTGAGCTCTTGTTTCGATCGGTTGCCTCCAGGCACCACCGCTATGTCGATCGCCGTCGCGAACGTGGCTGAACAAGAAAGGTGGCGTTCAATACCCGTCAGATCTCCGATCGCTCGCTTCATCAGTCCCAATGAGGCAGGTGGACCCACCGCGTTCGACTGGCCCATCCTCTTGACAGCAATCAAAACATCGATGGCTTCGATTGTGTTCTTGCCTGTCAAAGGAGGAATGTATCGCGCAGAACTGAGCAGCGTAAATAAGAAGTGAATGTGATATCCTTACGTGAACTTGTTCCCGAGCGTCGCCATAAACCGTGTCTCTGGTCTCCACGTGGCAGGGGTAGACGCAGGGGTCGCCACGCATCACCTACCCCCCTGTTGTTCGGACCATGGCGACGATATACATAAGTGTCTGACGTTCGAAAGCGGCGGCCACTCACCTCCTTCCTCCCCCTACCTGCCCCACGCACCCAGTTGCTCGTGCGCTCACTCTCACCCCCCTCCCGCATAGCGACCCCTGGCACGACGTCGGCCGGTTGTCCTGGGGCGATATCCTGCGACGCTGGAACAGAAGGCAGGAACGGGATGTCGCTCCAGGGCTGTGTGTGGACGCTGTGGGAGCGCGGACTGAGCAACCATTGTTCTCGACGGTACGTGCGTACAGACACCTGCCTATCAGGGAGATGGTTGTCAGGCTGCTGCTGAAGAGTATGGAGGCCGACTGCTCACAAGTTGATGTATCGTCATGTCGTAGAACCTCGCGGACGTGCGGTCTCAGTCTAGTCTTCCATGCGCATCACCCCGGGCGACGCAGGACGCGTCCGGCCTTAAGAGAGTTCGATCATGAGTGGTACGTCCATGACAGTGACGCACATCGTAGCTCACCTTCAGTGCAGCAGCTGCGGAGATCGGGGCACAGCGACCTAGTCAGTCATCACTTGTGTCGTTTTTTTCATATGACGTGTTCACTGACCGGGGCGTGGAAGATACTTAGCTCGCTACTATCTCGCCCAACCCGCCAGTGAATGCTGCCTGCCATCGCATGAACTGAGCTCGATGCGATGTAGGGAACGAAGCCTCACCTTGTGACAGACGGAGAACGGTGCAGGTAAGCAAGCTCGACTTGTCCATGGAGCGATGCGCCTCTGCGATCCCCTGATACCACGGCCATCGCTCGTTTTGTTGGCTTCACAACACTCACGAGTACCTGCTCCGCGAGGATCCAGTCGTTCTGGGTCCGGGTGAGAGATCCGCGAGGTTCTTTTGTCGGGACGGGTTGCAGCCATGTGGTGTTGATGCACCGTATCTGTGTGGACAGTTGACAATGTTGCTCGTGAGACGACGTTAGAAGTACGTACAACGAGGTAGGGCCTCACCTTGAACATAGACACGCTTTTCCGCATATGCTGCAATGAAACGCGCCGGCGGATACCTGAAGTCGATTTTGAAGTAAGATCATCAGACCCCAAGAACACAAATCTGTCGTGAACGTCGAAAAGAATCTCGTCTGTCCCTCAGGCATGCTCTCGCCCGATCGGCTTGCGAGTTCAGATCGTTCAGAGACCTGTGTGGTTGACTCCGAGTCGGTAAGCCAGTATCATAACACGGTTAATAATGCTCACCGTTTTAGAGCCAAGGCAACTCATTACCGTACGTTTTGAGGCCATACCAGCTCGCCAACTCAGTCTCCATACACGCCAGGCTGCACGACAAGGCCAACAGTGATTGAAATGATGCGGTGGCGTGAAACGGAGGTACGTTGAAGGCAGGCGAAGCGGAGGTGGGTCGCGGCCACATTGTGTATGGGCGGAATATACCCCCAACGATGGACGGGTTTCGCTGTCCTGTCGATCAATATTGCGCTGTTGACAGTCCTGACACTGAAGATGTAATACAGAAACGCTGGAGGCGGGTGGAAGGTGAAGTTGGGTGGCGAGACAGTAGCTATTGTGGCGAGGTGAGTGAGAGCCCGGACGAATTGAACATGTTCCTTACCACGCTGAGAATGTATCCAGTCTCGTATTCGCCTGACACGAGCACGCGCAGATGCGAAACATTGCGGGATAGAGAAGCAGGTCGCTCGGAGAGGTGCACCATCCGCAGTCCGATTTGAAAATGAAGACCGTCCGTTTGCGAATCGAGGGCATCTTGAACGAGCCATCGTCGACCTCGGGGACTCTTCCGTACTTCAAGTCGGGTTTGCTTGAGCTGGGACGGGCCGTACGGCGCCACTAATCTTGACGGTTCAGTGGCTGGTGACCGCGGGTGGCTCAGCAAGTCGAGGCGCGGCGCGAGGTCCTCACGCAGTTGCCAAATTGGGACGCCCTTGTTCCCTATCCGGATAATGGTGCGTCGTATCCATGGCGAATCCTGCATGGGTTGACCCGCGAGCGAATCACAGCACGCGCAGTGGCACACCGAAACACGCCGACTCGTCTGCTCGGGCTGGTTTGCGCGGGGAAGGGACCGGGCGTGACAGAGGTCGTCCAAGCGAGATGCAGACGAGGCGTGACCGCGACGCGTCTTGCGAGGCCGGTGTTTGGCTTCGATTGGGTAGCTGTTTGCACATAAAGTTGAACACGCGGTCCTCCGTCGTCCTCTCCCTCTAACTTCTACCATCCGCGCGTCCGTCCTGTACTCCCTTACTCCCTACTATATTTCCCTGACTCTACTTCCATTCCACGGTCGCCCTTATCGATCCGCATCATATTCCAACATGCCCATCTCCATCTACGACGCCCAGCTCCGGATGTCGAACGACTCTCAGCCTGAGCCTGGACCGTAAGTCGTGATACGTTGTCTCTCTGTCGCTCCACTCGACTGACTGACCGGCTTCCAGGTCGTCAGAGCAGACCGACGACCTTCTGAAGCATCCATGGGCCAACAACTGGAACGGCGGAGAACTTTCTGTCGCCCAAGAACCGTCATCCAAGGAGATTATGTGAGGATTTCGACTCCTCGTACGTCTATCTGGCTTGCTAACATATATCACCTATCACCTCCAGGGAGGCGGACAAATTCTTTGACTACGACCTGTACGCCGCTCCGAAGCTGGCCGAGGCCCCCGCCCCGCGCCGTCTGCCCACACACTGGGCATTCAGACCGCACCTGCTGTCCATGCCACTCCCCCCGCCTGCCGCTTTGCAGGTTCCGTACGGGTTTGTGGACCCAACCATGTCTCTCCCACCCCTCCCCGATACCCACGCCCCTCCTGAGCCGGTCGGCGAGGTCCAGATCGGCCTGAAGCGCGCACGGGAGGAGATACACGAGGCGGGGCCCAGTCGTCCGACATCACGTCCGAAGACCGCTGGACGGCCCCGCGGGAGCGGTAGCGCCAAGGAAGGGCGGCGAACGACGTACACGTGTGGCTGGAGAAACGAAGACGACACTCTGTGCGACTGGCGTGGGTCGTCGGACGCCGTCTTCCAGCACGTCCGCACGGCTCACGGGCTTTGGACCCGAGCCCTTCCCGAGCCCGTCCCCGTCGCAATCAACTGTAACTGGGGGCCGTGCGCGCATACTTCCCTTCCCGGCGACATGCACGCCCATTGGCGCACAGATCACAAGCCGCACATCGCTGAGGACGTCACAATTGATGACGACGGAAAGGAGACAGTGACGTGCAGGGCGTGCCCGGAGGGGGAGCCTGATGCTGTGATGCAGCGTGGAAACTTGCTCAAGCATCTGCGGCTCAAACATTGGAGGGATGGGCGCTGGTGCGACCACTGCGGGCGTCGCGTCCGTGCCGACACGTTCGACCAGGCGGCGCGGGACCACCGCGGCGCTTGCCTCCTGAAACTCATGAACGGTCCCCACTTCCGCCGCTAGAGGTACGGACTAATGTTACGAACGTATGTATCGATCTCGTCTGTCGTGTATGTCGTTGTGTTGTCATCGTTGCTCTTACGTTACTGTATCGCTCTGACTGGAATGTTCTCCATAGTATTGCTCTGATTGTGTATTTACTGTTAGTGTAGCGTTCTCGATGTAACTTGTGCTATACTACCTTCGCTCCTGGGTTCGACGTATCGAGACCTGCGAACCTTGAATACTTGCGAATCGCGACGAAGGTCACTGAGACGTTACACAAACCGACATCAGCGAGCGAGCATCGGTCCGCCCACCCCTCGACTGTACCAACTCCCGGTCACGGTCCGTAGTACGCGAGACACGGAAGTCTAGCAGAGACGAACTGCGACTATCTAAGATGATCGTAGACCGTGAACTTCTGCGAAGTCGTTCATCAGCTGTTGTGGTTGATATACTGCGTGTCTGCTACTTACTTGGCTGACCAGACGAGAGTGACATCGGCAATGGCGAATAGCCGGACGGTAACGTCATGGTAGGTAGTACGACATTCACGTAGACCGTCTCTACGATAGAATTCAGGATGCGCGTATCCCCGTGACTAGTCACAAATCCCCCCTCCACGAACTCACTGAAGCCCTCCGACTAGACAGATGTCGGAATGCCGAGCAGATCCAGGCGACTCGCCAGCCCCCAGGATGGGCACCGCGACACAAGACAGAGATTGCGAAGGACAAAGATGCAGCGGAAGAGGAGGACCAAGCTTGGCAAGAGAAAGACATCCCAGCGATCTACACAGACGGCTCCGAAATCGAGGGCGGTGTTGGAGCATCCGCCATACTCTTCATCCCTAACGACCCGCAGCTACACATCCTCCGGTACCACCTCGGATCTGCAAAGCGACACACTGTGTACGAGGCCGAGATCGTCGGACTCATCATGGGAGTTGAACTGCTCACACGGCTCGCATACCGACTCGCCCAAACATCCTGCGCCGCCGATAATACGCCTTGTCTCCGAGCTTC